GAGTTTAGAACAATGAGAGACAAGGAGCTAAGATGGGGGAGCCAACTTGCAGGATTAAGGTTTCAATGATTTCTATATTAAATCTCATTTTTCGCAGGTCATGAACATATTTGTTGAGTAAGCATAGTATTAAAACTCATGGAAAGTGATGGTTCCCCTTTAAACTCTTGCCACTAATGTACTTCTATGAGCAGGAGGCAGTAAAGTGCTTAAAGCACCCTTCTGCGAAGACGTCTCCCTGTGAGCACCATGACAATAATCTATCATTTTGCAATGAGTTGTGGTTGGAGTTGGAGTGTCCTTTAATACATTTGTCTTTCACAAATAAAGTAAGTAAACTCGAATGTAGAAAAACACTGTCAAAAATATTTCAAAGGATTCCCATCACCATGATGGAACTGATACAGCAATGTTAACTCTTAAAAGGAGTTTTTTGAAAACAATTACTGTCAGAAGCAGCACGGTTTTCAGGCATAAAGCTGTGGGGGCACCAATTACACTCCAAATATCACTTAATTTTGGTGCTTCCTTAAATCAAAATAAAATTATAAATATGGGGGTCGGAATCCTTTCTCTCCACGCCTTTTGTTAATATACAGAGCAGTCAGCCGATCTATATTATCTCTGAGCTAAAAATAACAGCAAACTATGACTGTGAAACACGTTAAGTTCGGATTCTACACCTCCCCTCCTTCACAGGGTCACGCACTGCCTTACTGAGTTTAGTAAGTAGCAAGTGCTTATCCCACATTTAGCCCCCGAGACTCCTTCTTAATAAAAACACTTCACTTGCTCCTGTGGTCGACACAGTACTGTAAAAGTAAAGTATTTGGATGTGTAATGCAAGGCGTGACATTAGCATGGCTGATAAGATTTTTAGAGCAACCACATTAAAAAGGAGTTAAAAGAGGGAGAAGGCGGAAACAGCCCACTATCCAATCCAATACACCATAGCGGTTAATACCACTGCTGCACAGCACTAAACTACAAATCCCATAAACCTCTGCCGAGCATGGAATTTTTAGAATAGGTTCAGCACTTCCTCTGTCTAGTTTGGCTTTATTAAACAGCTGCAGCCTGTAATGTCCCTTTAACTCTGAAGATCAGATTTTGGCCCTGGAAGGGATGTTTCATGCTAAAACAGGTTTACCTTACTTAAAAGTCAAAATAAATTAATTTCTAAAAGCAGAATAAGAAACAGTGGATAGGCCAGTTTTGCTCCTGCACAGTGAAATTATTACATTACTCTGCCTATACAAGGCACAAATGGAAAAAGAAAGGGGACAAAAAACAGAGCCCCCGCCCAATTCAGGACCACCAACCCGATCATCAGAAAGTACAGACACAAATAGGGTATACTTATTAAAACACAAGGTTTCAGTACTACAAGAAACCAATGGGGAGTTTGGATCAGGACTGGAAGACCAAGAGGTGGTATGATACAGTCACTGGCCTCAGTTAATATTCCTCCATTTAATATTTTTGGATAAACTTTTCAAATGGATGACTAGAAACATGTTCCAAATTATTAATCTACAGAAGTCACCACTAAAGTCTATATGGATTTTGTAGAGAAATTCTTTGAAGTTTGCTTTCTTACAGATTGTGTTCTTTTCAAATGCCAAAAATATTTAGAGGCCTCTGTACCCATCAATACCATGTGACACAGCAGGAACCATAACCTGACAGCAATCTAGAATTTCCAGCTCAGTAAGTGGTGAATAGGACTGTACGACACAAACGTGGACATCCGCTGTTACCCTGGGACGTGTTTTTATTACACGAAAATCAGTTTTAGTAAGTGTTCCACAGCTTTTTCCTGTTCATGAATATATATTATCAATACTAAACTGTTCTTATGAATGTGAATTAGCATCCACCTTTCCGGTCCTACCTGATAGAAGAAATACTTGCTCCTAATTAAAGTAACTTAGTATTCTCTTCAGTGATATTTTATAATTCTAGTATTTTACTACATTCCTCACTGTCTACCCACTGAAAGCGATCCAACACTGTATAAAATAATGTTCTCTTCAGAAAAGTTTTCCAGTGAACGCCATACATTCTACACAAGTAATATGGATCTAACAAGTGATCAAGACATGTTACTTTATGGATTTACACAAGCCTTGTGGTCCTACCTGTAAAAGCAATTAGACCCTTCAAGTTTATAGTATACCTGCTCCGAATAACTGGTCCTAACTGATGACATTATTCATGGATTGCCCCAGTGATCTCACCTGATAAACTCACCCCACAGCCCCCCAGTGATCCCACAGCAGTTATGTTACATGGGGTAGGTGCCGCTCAGGTAAGTCCCCTGTCGGTGTGCCCAGAGCAGTGTTTGACCATGGGCAGGTGTCTCGTTGTACCTAGTGTAGTGTGTCCCCTGTTGGAGAGCCCCGCGCAGTGCGTCGGTATACCAGTTGCGGTACCGGATGATGGTGGTGTACCTAGTGCTGTGTGTCAGTATAGCCGCTGTGTGTGTGTCGGTGTAACCGGCGCAGCGTGTCCCCAGTCGGTGTACCTGGCTCAGTGTGTTGGTGTACCCTTTGCTGTGTGTGTGTCGGTGTACCCTGCGCTGTACCTGATAAAGGTGGTTTTCCCTGCGCTGTGGGTGTGTCGGTGTACCCGGTAAATGTTCCCGGTGCTGTGTGTCGTGAACCCAGTAAGTGGCAGTCGTTGTACCCGGTGCTGTAACTGATGAAGGTGGTTTTCCCGATGCACCCTGCGCTGTGTGTGTGTGTGTGTGTCGGTGCTGTACCTGATTAAGGTGGTTTTCCCGGTGCTGTGAGCGTCAGTATACCCGGTGCTGTACCTGATGAAGGTGGTTTTCCCGGTGCGGTGAGCGTCAGTATACCCGGTGCTGTACCTGATGAAGGTGGTTTTCCCGGTGCTGTGTGTCAGTATACTCTGTGCTGTACCTGATGCAGGTGGTTTTCCCGGTACTGTGTGTGTGTGTCGGTATACTCTGTGTGTCGTGAACCCGGTGCTGTGTGTGTCAGTATACTCTGTGCTGTACCTGATGAAGGTGGTCTTCCCGGTGCTGTGTATCAGTATACTCTGTGCTGTGTGTCGGTGTACCCGGTGCTGGGTGCTCGGTGCCGTACCTGATGAAGGTGGTCTTCCCGGTGCTGTGTGTCAGTATACTCTGTGCTGTGTGTTGGTGTCAATATACTCTGTGTGCTCGGTGTACCCGGCGCTGTGTGTCGGTATACCCGGCGCTGTGTGTCAGTGTACCCGGTGCTGTGTGCTCGGTGCCGTACCTGATGAAGGTGGTCTTCCCGGTGCTGTGTGTCGGTGTCAGTATACCCGGTGCTGTGTGTCGGTGTCAGTATACCCAGTACCCGGTGCTGTGTGTCGGTGTCAGTATACCCGGTACCCGGTGCTGTGTACTCGGTGCCGTACCTGATGAAGGTGGTCTTCCCGGTGCTGTGTGTCGGTGTCAGTATACCCGGTGCTGTGTGTCGGTGTCAGTATACCCGGTGCTGTGTGTCGGTGTCAGTGTCGGTGTCAGTATACCCGGTGCTGTGTGTCGGTGTCAGTATACCCGGTGCTGTTTGTCGGTGTCAGTATACCCGGTGCTGTGTGTGTCGGTGTCAGTATACCCGGTACCCGGTGCCAAAATGCGTCAGTATACCCGTGCTGTGTGTCGGTGTCAGTATACCCGTGCTGTGTGTCGTGCGGCCGCATAATTCCGGTGCTGTGTGTCGGTGGCCAGTATACCCGGTATTGTGTGTCGGTGTCAGTATACCCGTGCTGTGTGGTGTCGGTAGTCAGTATACCCGGTAATCTCGGGTAAAGGTGTGTCGGTGTCAGTATACCCGTGTGCTGTGTGTATCGGTGTCAGTATACCCGGTGCTGTGTGTCGCGTCAGTATACCCGTGCTGTGTGTGTCGGTGCTGCATACCCGCAACTGCGCTGTGTGTCGGTGTCAGTATACCCGGTGCTGTGTGTCGGTGTCAGTATACCCTGTACCCAGTGCTGTGTGTCGGTGTCAGTATACCCGGTGCTGTGTGTCGGTGTCAGTATACCCGGTGCTGTGTGTCGGTGTCAGTATACCCGGTACCCGGTGCTGTGTGTCGGTGTCAGTATACCCGGTGCTGTGTGTCGGTGTCAGTATACCCGGTGCTGTTTGTCGGTGTCAGTATACCCGGTGCTGTGTGTGTCGGTGTCAGTATACCCGGTACCCGGTGCTGTGTGTCGGTGTCAGTATACCCGGTGCTGTGTGTCGGTGTCAGTATACCCAGTGCTGTGTGTCGGTGTCAGTATACCCGGTGCTGTTTGTCGGTGTCAGTATACCCGGTGCTGTGTGTGTCGGTGTCAGTATACCCGGTACCCGGTGCTGTGTGTCGGTGTCAGTATACCCGGTGCTGTGTGTGTCGGTGTCAGTATACCCAGTACCCGGTGCTGTGTGTCGGTGTCAGTATACCCGGTGCTGTGTGTCGGTGTCAGTATACCCAGTACCCAGTGCTGTGTGTCGGTGTCAGTATACCCGGTGCTGTGTGTCGGTGTCAGTATACCCGGTGCTGTGTGTCGGTGTCAGTATACCCGGTACCCGGTGCTGTGTGTCGGTGTCAGTATACCCGGTGCTGTGTGTCGGTGTCAGTATACCCGGTGCTGTGTGTCGGTGTCAGTATACCCGGTACCCGGTGCTGTGTACTCGGTGCCGTACCTGATGAAGGTGGTCTTCCCGGTGCTGTACTGTCCCACCAGCAGGACCATGGGCAGGTTTTTGAAGTCTGCCTCCTCCAGGGCCGGGGAGTGGAAGTCATGGAATCGGTAATGTTCCTCCAGCGGCAGCAGCTTCCCCGAATACAGCGACTGCAGCCCGCCCGTCACCGTCTGCAGCACATCCTGCGGGCCGGCCGCCGCCCCGCTCTCCCTCCCCAGCCAGCTGAACATCGCAGCGGGGGGAGAACCGGGAGGGGGGATACCGGGGATACTGGCACCGGGAGATACCGGGAGGGGGGAGAGACTGGCAGGACCGGGGAGATACCGGGGGAATAGGGGGAGAGAGACAGAGAGAGATCACAGCGGGGGGGGACCTGACAGACGGGCTCTCACACACAGAGCTCACAGGGAGAGGGGGAGACAGCGCGGCTCGCTCGGGGGGTGATAACACCGGGGGGGGGGGGGCAGCGGCACCCGGGCGGACAGACAGCGCGGCTCGCTCCCGGGGGGGGGAGGCGGTGACGGGATACCGGGCGGGCGGGCGGGCGCTGACACGGAGCTCACACCGGGGGGGAACCGGCCGCACTGTCCGGGGTGACCGAGCTCTCTGTCCGCACCGCCTGCTCGCTTACTTCCGGGTATCACCGGCCGGACACGCCCACCTGCCACACGGACACGTCACCTGAGCAACCGGCCCACCAAACCCCGCCCCCTCCGCCTGGATCCCATCACATGACGTCACCAGGGTGTGTCGGGATCGCTGGCCGCACAGCGCCAGAGGGGGGAGCGCTCTGCTGCCACCTAGCGGCCACACGGAGCATTGCATCATGGGAACTGTGCTATCACACCCGCAGCTCAATGTATTAATCATTTATATAATATTAACAGTTACCGCCCATCACCCATTAAAACCCATCCTGGACCCACGTACCAATCCCACCGGCTGTCCTCCCCGCACGGCGTGTCCCAACACTCACTGCAAATCCTGGGTGACGCCGCCATGTACCAATCCCACCGGCTGTCCTCCCCGCACGGCGTGCCCCAACACTCACTGCAACTCCTGGGTGACGCCGTGTACCAATCCCACCGGCTGTGCCTCCCCGCACGGCGTCTCCCAACACTCACTGCAATTCCTGGGTGACGCCATGTACCAATCCCACCGGCTGTCCTCCCCACACGGCGTGTCCCAACACTCACTGCAACTCCTGGGTGACGCCGTGTACCAATCCCACCGGCTGTCCTCCCCACACGGCGTGTCCCAACACTCACTGCAACTCCTGGGTGACGCCGTGTACCAATCCCACCGGCTGTCCTCCCCGCACGGCGTGTCCCAACACTCACTGCAATTCCTGGGTGACGCCGTGTACCAATCCCACCGGCTGTGCCTCCCCACACGGCGTGCCCCAACACTCACTGCAATTCCTGGGTGACACCGCCATGTACCAATCCCACCAGCTGTGCCTCCCCGCACGGCCTGTCCCAACACTCACTGCAATTCCTGGGTGACGCCATGTACCAATCCAACCGGCTGTGCCTCCCCGCATGGCGTGTCCCAATACTCACTGCAATTCCTGGGTGACACCATGTACCAATCCCACCGGCTGTGCCATCCGTTCCAACTTTGGACTGTCCTCCCCACACAGTGTGTCCCAAAAACCTGGCACAATGTATTAAGGATTACGTGTAAAACATCCCCCACTGCCTAAATTTCATCCACTACATGGGTACCACCATTCCAATACCCCGGACAACAGCATTCCAATACCACCATTCCGATACCCAGGACAACAGCATTCCGATACCACCACTCCGAAACCCTGGACAACAGCATTCCAATACCCTGGGTACCACCATTCCGATAATCCGGACAACAGCATTCCGATACCACCATTCCGATACCCAGGACAACAGCATTCCGATACCACCATTCCAATACCCAGGACATCAGCATTTCGATACTGCCATTCCGATACCCCGGAAAACAGCATTCCGATACCGCCATTCCAATACTCAGGACAACAGCATTCCGATACCCAGGACAACAGGATTCCGATACCGCCATTCCGATACCCAGGACAACAGCATTCTGATACCACCATTCCGATACCCAGGACAACAGCATTCCTATACCACCATTCCGATACCCTGGACAACAGCATTCCTATACCACCATTCCGATACCCAGGACAACAGCATTCTGATACCACCTTTCTAATACCTTGGGTACCACCATTCCAATACCTTGGGTACCACCATTCCGAAACCCTGAATAACAGCATTCCAATACCCTGGGTATCACCATTCCGAAACCCTGTGTCATGGTCTTAAGCAGGTCAGATAAGAGACTTTGGCCAGGGTTAACGTTTGGTTCTTTTTTGGTAAGTTTAGACATAGAAAGTAGCAGGAAATCCTATAAGTGAGATTATAGGCAGAAGGAAAATAGGAGAACCTATAAACGGAATTATAGGCAATGGATAAACAAAGTTATAGGCAAAAGGTGAAATAGAGGTTTAGGCAATATGCCTCAGACAGGATATAATTGGATAGGAAGAAATCCTATAGATAAATGTATAGGATATTTAGAGAGATTACATAAAACAGAACAGTAAGGTTTCAGAATTGCAGGTAAATTGACGTTTGGGGAATCAGCACTGATAATTTAGGTAAATAACACCATGCAAGAATGGTTAGTAGAATAGTTCAGGTTAGTATGATGCAGGTTGGTAACAAAGCAGATTGGTATAATGTAGGTTAGTAACGTAAGGCAGGTTGATATAATGCAGGATGGTAATATAAAGCAGGCTGGTAGTGTAGTCCAGGCTGGTATAAAGTCGGTTGATAAACATAAAGATAGGTTAGCATAAATCAGGTTGGTGGCGTAGTTCAGGTTGGTAACAAAGGTTGATAACGTATATCAGGTTGGTATCAAACAGCTTGGAAAGGTAAAGCAGATAAACTCCAATATAAAGGCCCAGTAATGCGCTGGGTGTGGCTTTTTGTAGGAGAATTAATCTGTCCAGGCAGGTGAGGTAGAGAGAAGGAAGATCAGTCACACATACCCAGTCACACACACATTACCAATATATAGCCAGACACACACACATACCCTCCAAGACTTCTCCAGGGCTGCACCTCTTCTGTGGACCTCCCTTCCCTTCTCCGTAAGAATTTCACCCAGTCTCCACTCATTCGGAAATTTAATGAAAACTCACTTCTTCAAAAAGCATATCAATTAAACTGTTAGTGGGTTTTCATCCCCCACCCTCCATGACTTCTCTCCTGCAACTGTCAAAAATTACCTACTAAGCCCTCAGTGAATACTTTTCTAACAACCTACTTTGTACCCCTACGTTCACCCTTTGTGTCACTATACCCCACTCGCTCTAGCATGTAAGCTCATTGAGCAGGGCCCTTCACCTCTCTATTCCTGTACGTCAAACTTGTCTGGTTACAATTACATGTCTGTTAGTCCACCCATTTTACAGCGCTACGGAAACTGATGGCGCTATATAAATAATAAAATAATAATAATAATTCATACACACGTATACAAACACACATAACTCACATATATATCTGCTTATGGGGAATCTTTGTCGTACCTTATAAATACTAGCAATACCATATAACGTTAATCAATGCAAGGGTGCTACTTTAATAGAGTGCTTCCTCAAATACCACCCGTGTCGGCCTCAGAGAATGCAAATTATTCACACCAGAAATAGATATTAAAAACACCGTACTTTATTTTACAACATTTAAGACAGGAGTACGATGTTTCACATGTATGTCACTTTCCTTTAAGCTTTTGCCGGTGCTATCTGCTGCTGTGGATTTGTATAAGCCTTGTCACTGCCTTTACCATACCTACCAACAGTCCTGGATTTTGACAAATTGTGGTTTCCTGTCTGACACATTATTACCACTGCTTTCTATACGTATCCAAGTTTAAAGTAGAAAAATAAATAAACTTGCTCACATAAAAAGAAGGATTTAGGGGGGCGGAGCCTGACAGCCAAGCTGAGTGGTCGCACCTCAGCAGAGCTCCTGTCTAAAAAACCTGCAAATTCAAAGCTTTTTACACTCCAGACACTGGGGCTTAATATCGAGACAATGCATAACCGAGCCTGGGACCGCAAAATGTGACTGATTCCAGGGGATGGACCTGAGGCCTCCTTGCGGCCTACTCAGGAAGCATGGGGGAGACGGCCGACCCCTCAGCTTGTAACAAAGGAGGTCTCTCCGGAACACTCTCTCCCCCCCCCCCTCCCCCGCCGGTGAGGGATATCCCGGCAACCAGAGCATGTGGATCAGGACGGAGAAACCGAGCCCAGCCACCTTGCACCGCCGGACCGTTTGCCTCCACTGTCGGAGCGGCTAGACCGCCTATTCAGTGATTTTTGGGCCAAACTCGCCAGCCGCAGAGACACCCGGGCACAAGTCCCACCGGCATCAGCCACAAAAGACATTATAAAGCAGCCTGCAGCTCCAGTGCGGAACCCGAGTACGATCGAGATAGCAGGGAGTGAGAGGCGGAAGAAACGTCGTAAGCCCCAGCGCCCGACTCTTAGACCACTGGTGAGTTGCCCAAAGCCTCAACGGAGACGATCTCCAGGGATGCCCCATCACCACCCCTCTCACCCGCGAAAAGTCCACTCTAAGAACTGGCCTAGCACACTCAGGCAGGTTCCATCTCAGAACAGCAGCCCCCTGGGTCTAAAGGCACACATGGGACTCCCGAACACTCACCACTCCAAGTCACCAGGAAACCTGGAGGCAGCACGGAGCCAACTCACTGCCCAACGAACAGGAGTGCTTGGTCCACTAGCTCCCCCGAGAGGCAGCAAAACATATGGCTGTGACATACCCCTGGCAGGTGTTGGCTGACCGGGACATTTGAAATCACAGATGAGTCATTCACCCTATGCCTCATAAAGTCCCTACCTGCTACTAAGGACGTTTTCTTGTTCCCCTGAGAAATATAGTGTTACTCCTATGCTCATATGCTATGCCCTACAACTTACACGCTAACCTACTGCAATTATCTTGTATTCCTATCAACTAACAACACTAGTATAAACATGTGCCAAACTTTCAACAAAGCACAACCTCTACACACTTTCTAGGGCTATGTATAATACCAATGTTCAATACTCCACAGCCTCAATAGACTTAGCATGCTCCTACCTTCCTGTATTAACCCATGAAACTAGGCAAAGTTTATATGACACACAACTGTTTCTCTATGTCTATGTCTAAGTCTTTAATTTGCTATCACTACTAAGCTTACGATATTATCTTGTTTATATAACTACTTTCAAAAAAAGTGCAATGTCGTTAATGCCATGTGATTAAGAATGTATGCAAACTCGACTGTACCAGCTATTGTGGCAGTACAAATTTGCCTGTTACCCTTATGCACGAACAAAAATAAAGAATATATATATATTAAAAAAAAGAAGGATTTAATAACAAAATACATTATAAATGTGTGAGAATTAGCAATTCTTTTTAAACAAAATATAAATTCACTAAACAGTTAAGGTGTTAAATTGAAACAAAAAAATGAATTGCAAATAGCAAAAAGGGAAAAAAGACCAAAATGTAAAAATAGCTGAATTGGAGTTTTTTTAAATGTCGCTGTTTCCGCATAGAATTTGTGATGTGAATTCTAATCAACGCAATTCACTAATTAGTGAATACAACTTTGAGATTGAATTATTACATTTTATCTTGATTATAGTTTCACACTGTGAGATTCCAACCCAAATAGCTGTGATGAATACATTCTACAACTTGGCTTTGCTGCTGGATTGGAGTAAAATGTGGCTTAAAATGCTGCATATTTAATACCACGAATCTCTGTAAATGAACAGGCAACCCTCAGCAAATTATACATTGGTTTTATGAATATTCTTATTGCTAAGATCAGTACAGAGTTCAAATTAAATGTAATTTTGATTCCAATGTGTAATATCTATTCTTCATAATTTAAGTTTGCTTCCAAAAAATGATTTAATAACACTTAAAGGGACACTCCAGGTACCCAGACCACTTCTGCCCATTGGAGTGGTCTGGGTGCCAACTCCCACTACCATTAACCCTGCAGGTGTAATTATTGCAGTTTTGTCTATCAGACAGCCACTAGAGGGACTCCTGTGTTCTTAGAACACGAAAAGTGTTTTAAACGACACTGGACATCCTCACGCTAAGCATTGAATAATGCTTAACTATCGGGAAGACTAATGCACGCGGCGAGCGGCCATTGCCGCGAATGCACATTAGGTCTCACCCACCGGCTGATTCGGCAGGGGAGGAGTGTGGGTGGAGCCTGACCCAGCATCGAGGGACATCGGCGCTTGATTCAGGTAAGTCACTGAAGGGGTTTTAACCCCTTCAGCAATGTGGGATGGGGGTGGGAGGTAGAGGGGGTTGGGGGTAGAAGAGAGAGTCCCTTTAACTTAAAAGGATTTAGATAAAGCAGCGTGCTTTAATAGGACATTATATAAAAGGACCATATTGTCATACCGTTCAGTGAAATCTCATCCTAGTCTATAATACCAGCTGTAGCAGTTGTTACTGAAGTTCAGTCTGCATTCATTTAGGTTACTGTGGTCAGTCTCGATTGGAATGTTACCCTCATACAAACATTACATTAAATCAACTATAATAACTAACAAATACATTTCAAACACACATACATTATGTTTTAAAATTAGTTTCCAATAAATTGGTATTTTTTTAGTAAGCAATGACCAAAAATATTTTAACAAATGGAATTCATAACAGTAAAATAAATAAACATATGTATAAAAAATGCAATCTAATATCTACACCACTAGAGGCGTGATTAACCCGTGAAGGTAAATATTGTGCAAAACAACAATGCGTTTCCCAAGATACTTAGCCAGTCGCTCAGCTATCTAAGCATCAAGGGAAATACAATACAGATTACAGGAGATACGAGAGTTCTGCTGGGTCCATCCTTCCGATGTGGTCATGGTTTATTTAAGAGGAGAAGCCTTCGGCAGAATTTCTCAAGACGCACTTGCAGGTCCAAAAAACTGTCTTTCCCCCTGCTGCTGCTAATTTTATTAATTGGAAAATGATTATCTGTAACATTGTGTCTGATGTTTTCCATTTAATAGATTCTTGGTTTTCCTTCTCTCCACGGCAGATTTCAAGGCATCCAAGATTAAGCATTTGTTGTTTTGGAGATTATATTGGGTCATTTTCATCAGCTGGTCAAAGTCCCTCTCACTGTAAGTAAAATTTGTCAGAAAATACGGTGACAAAAAACTTGTGACATCTACGTCCCCTTCTGATTCCTCTCCCGGAGTCCGCAAGACACCTGGAATAAAATCAAACAACTTTTTAAAAATAACCAGGGTCAGTTCCGATTAGTCACTGTACATAACTCTATAGAGAAAGTAATGCATAGAGCTTGGTGTAACTCCTAATATAGTGAGCCGAATAAATATAGATTTCTTGTTTTTCTGTTTACTTTTGCTCCCTGCTGCCTGACCTTAATGTAGGATATCATTATTATTATTTTATTATTTATATAGGATAGGATATATTATTAGATTGACACTCTTAGAACTAAAACAACTTCAGCTGAATGAAGCAGTTTTGGTGTATAGATCATGGAATCTCACTGCTCAACTCTGCCATTAAGGAGTTAAATCACTTTGTTTATGCACTTCTGAGAGTAATACACACCTCCTGAAAAAGAGCACTCATTTTATGCTTCCTTTATTGCACTGTGTGTTTAATTTAGAATGTATTATCTCATGCTTTGTTAGTAGCCTGCTAGAGCCTTTTGTGTGTGATTAAAGGTCGATTCTCTGAGCAGGAGATACAAACTTCTAAAGTAAACACACTATGCTGTAAGATCTGACTGAAAATAAAACAATTTTTTCATGGTGTTGCTGGACTGTATAAACAGAGTGATTTATACACCAAAACCACTTTATTAAGCTGAAGTTGTTTTGCTGTTTAGAGGGTTCCTTGAACAACAGCATTCACTCATATCAAGACTACTAAAATCTAATTTTACGTTAAGGTTCTATTACGTTATCAGCGTGTTGTCCTTTTTTAAATTTTAATTCCTAAACATTATTTGTTTATTTTAACATTTAGCCATCACATATATTCTTTTGGCTGTTATAGGTGCAGCTGCAAAACCATAGTATTTAAAGCAACTCCAGGTGGTAAACTAGCCAACCATTTGTAATGTGCTAGAGGTATTGCATAAAAAAAGGAAATGATGGACCTATTGGGAGGCTCCCATGCTTTTCTGTGAAATTTGCAATGTGCAAATATTATCCCATAAATACCTGCACAGCAGGGCCCTATGGGCAGAGCAAACATTTCTGGAAACTGTAGTTTAGTGATCAGCATTTTACTTCTAAAAGCTGTTAGCTGAACTACAACTCCCAGAAACCATTACTGCGCTTATTGATGACATCATGTAGAATATTGCATATTCTATGTTTCTATTGATTATATATATGGATGTGTGGATTGACATAAGTAACAGATGGTATCAATAAGTCACAAGGCTTTCTTTGTCCGAGAGCTCTGGAATGTGGATGTGGGGGTTTTGTCCTTATATGGCTAGAGATAAACGCTGACGTACACATCTTTATAGTAACAGAGGGACACGAGGTCGCTCTGTCTTGTCTTGGCTCTTGGCTCTCTCTTGGCTCTGTACAACAATGTAACTCTCCCATGAGAAGTACAGCAATTACCATCTGCTGTTGAATGTGCACTATCCTGTAACATCCTTTATTATGTTTTTATTATGTATCCGTAACAAAGAATAAACCTGAATAAACCGTAAGTCAGATTGCGTATTACTACTTTTCAATAATATAGACACATATTATTGTGGCGAGCATTTGGCCCAAGACTATATATACAAAAGACGTATATATATCAATCAACTGAAGACAAGAAGAAATTAAGAAGATTCTACATTTATCACCAATCTAAAGCTACATTTTACACATCACATTTTATAAAGAGGGTGACTGGACATGAAGACAAGGTCGAGATGCAAAATTTAGCAAAGTGATTTATTTGCAACATCTATATAAAATGAAGCACGCAAATATAACCCCAGGTATTTACTTAGGCTGAATATTATGACAAGCCCAGTGGTTGTGTTGGCTCCTAGAGTGTCCCTTTAACTCCTATAATAGAAATACAAATCAATGTTTTAATAATAAGAGAATACATTACAAAGATTAGGACACCTACCCGGTTCTTTATACTTTCTGAAGGTGTCATTGACCAGAGGGAAATGTAGGACTAAGGGAGCATTGAGATTGTCTTCATCAACAAAAACATAGCATTCTTTATGCGTTTTCTTCTCCTCTTCGCTCAACGAAACCTTAGGGAAACAAATGCCCTGTGTGGTACAGTACGTGCAGGTCTGCTCGACAGACTGAAAAACACAAGGGGAGCCCTAAATAACAGCTTATACCATGATTCCTTTCAGAATATGTTCACACATTGCTGACTCTAATTAACGTGTGTCAGAGATGTTTTGACACTGTATGAGTTAATCAGTTAGAAGGATGATTACCCTACTGAGACTGGAACTTGCAGATATGAGGTTTGGACAGATGTACAGTAACAGCACATGCAATAACCAACTGAACTATCTCTGCGTCTAAACTTAATTTAAATATCTCATTACGTACCTGGAGAGGTGTATCCAATGTATAATCAAACGATAAGATAATGTCCACCTTCCTTGCTTGTTTCAGTAAAGGAGGGAAGCTGGCATTAATGAAGTACCCAGCATCCACAAGGCACAGATTGTCAGCGAGTGGGGTGAGCTGGTTGGGGAACGTGTCTAGATTAGTGTCTGAAAACCAACAAACAAACATGCTGTAAGATTAGTGGTATACATTGTATTGATCACTTTTATCATTGACAATGCTGTACCGGGCCGTAACTGTTTAGACAAAGAGCAGATGTAGTTTTTATCACAATTTAAATATCTAATTAAGAAAAAAATATTTGATTATCTAGAAGATGGCTAATGTTGCTAAGAAACAACATATTTACTATATATACCTCTTCCATTGAACTGTTTAAGCCTTAGTAGATTAATTGATTGATCTTAGTTATAAATAGCACAAAGTCATACCCTTCACGTTTCACTTCTTCCATTCTGGAATAAGACTGCCTTTAACTAAGAGTCTGATACCTGTTTCGATCCAGTCCAAGGACAACTACTGCGTGGTCCCCAATCTCAGGGTTTCCACAAACTCTGTTTTTTTTTACTTATTTGAATATGCCTACGGTTTCTATAGGTGAAAAGAATAATCCAGTACATACTGAGACTAAGGTTGCATACGCTATCACCAAAAGTCTTTAGGTGGCGGAGACGTGCACCATTGTTATTCTGGATATGAAAACGTATCTTTCATATCTATTTCTATTATATATGTTAATTGATAATCTATGTTCGTGTTAAACCCTGTACTCATGCGATTGTTTAATTGTTAAGAGTAATCCAGATGGAGGTTCCTTGCTAACTGTGTATCTGTCTGATCTCAGCGACGAGGCCAAGTGAATCCTGAAATGATCTCTCGTGCAGATTTGGGCTGCCATTGTGGGTGAGGTCAATCTAATATACAAATAGAATAGGTTCCCTGTATAATAGCAAAGTGAGCCAAAACCTGTATAAGGCCTGAGTAAGATGTGCATTATTCACACAATTCCTGTAACATTTGAGATACTTGCAATCTTGAGACAGATCTATGTCTTGTATTTCGCTTATTTAGCTATTAAGAGGGTCCTATGGGTCAAAGCGGATTCTGGTATAATTGCAGCATTATACTGCTGCCAGCCAAACCAAATCTCATTCTCTGATTGTGGCAATAAAGTCATGAGACGTTTCCAGAGAGAGTTTTTTCAGAAGAAGAGAACAATACCAGGGTGCACGTGCGTTGGGGTATCTTATGGGTGAATGTTTTGGCTTTCACAGAAACCAAAAAATTATTGGACATCCAGTCAGTTTACATATAAAAAGTACCATCATCGACATCACAGTTTTACTGCACTGAAAATAGTCTTTATTTCCATGAGACCAATGTATAGAAAACATCAACCATCTCTGGTTTAATTGCATATTGTGACATTAACCTTTCCACCTGCAGAACTGAGGATGCTGCAGGTAATCCTTGTGTAAGTGAAACCCTCGGAGGAAGTTCTGATGTTCTCCATCTATGGGTCTGCTGGTTAATACTCCGGTCATAATCTTGGAGAAGGTCCCAGACGGGGTATAGAGCTGGGTTTTTATGTGCGCCGATTCTCTCCTGCGCTGTATGTCTTCTTTATCTTTGGGTTGAGAATAAAAAAACATGTAAATACATTTAAAAAATAGAAAGCTGGATTGAAATATTAAATCGGAGGTATGTAGAGTAAACACACTTTTTATATCAATTTTTAAACCTGTCAATATCTGTATTAGTCATCCTACGGATTACTGTAATTTTACAAAACTAATGTTTTTTAAAGGGTGATGTTGTGACAAGGCAATGAGTCTCTGGAAGGTTTGCATGCCTGAAGCTCCACCTTAACTGGTTTGTGACCTAATAGGAGATGGAGAAGACGCGTGTCCTTGATTGCCTCTCTGGCTAGCTTTATCACAAATTGAAGAAACTAAACAAAGAGCTCATCAAAAGGAACATGGGGTAGTTGGAATATGGTTGTACAAGGTTAGCTGCTTAACCACTTCGATACCAGAATCATTATAAACGTTTTCATGTGATCTACAGTATGAAATCTAGCCACTCACAATCATTTATACTCTAGTTTTGATTAGCCTGTAGGGAAACACATCTCTGCCACTAGTTACTGATATAATCAATGTAAAGTTGCTGAAAATGTCCGCTCGCTCCCTGCTTTCAAACAGTGCAGGAAGTTTCACTTGGTGATATCATTCTTACAGTCAGGAGTGCAGAAAGTTTCACTTGGTGATATCATTCTTACAGTCAGGAGTGCACGAAGTTTCACTTGGTGATATCATTCTTACAGTCAGGAATAGTGAATGGACTCTAACATTTCACTGTCAGCATTACATTAATATTACAGAGGTTGATAAAGAGTACAATAAGCGTTTTTAAATGCCTTTATTTTAGAAATATAAGATTTAACCATATTTACTATATGTGAGCATTATATGCTTTTTACATTCTTTTGCTATTTCTAGTAAGCTTTACTGCTTGTAATACCTTTAGGGTCCTTACTACATATAAGCAAGCTTTTTTACAATTCATATTAATATACCTACTGTATATGAGAAAAAAAGAATTTTGTGCTTTTATACTAACATTTCAGACACTGTTATTAATAAATATTGCAAGATAAAGGACACTGTATACTGTGTAGAGTTGTTCATTTCCCAAATATTGTTATAAAGGATGAGCAAAGAAGTGAAAAATAAAAATAGTGTAAATTGACATAATTGTTATTTTTTTTTTAAAGCAATCTATACACAAAGCTGCTGTGTTATTATATAGGCTAGGTTTATAGGCTGGCTATGCATACCCTGCCTCAAATAAATGTTAATGCTAATATTTCTTTCATTCAAAAAGTGCTTGGTAGTGAAAGGGTTAAAGGAAGGAGGTCTACTTTTTCCAGCTAAGCTTATAGGCACAATGTGACTAACTAGATATGGTCTCATTATACACTGTCAAAATACATTGATTAATTTCTAGGTGTAACCAATTTGTATATATTAATATTAGTCATGCAAGCTATTGCTGGACAAACCTCACGGTGTCCGAATTGTGGGTTATTTTCTGACTACACGGCTAGGATACTAAGACAGCCCCAGCTTTAATTAGCAATGTAAAAACATACAATATACTCATTACTGATAAAACATACTATGTACTACGTGATACTGATAAAACATACTATGTACTACGTGTAAAATAGATATATGAAGCAGATCATTTATCTTACCAATGTCCATAATTCTGTCTTTCAGCCAGTGATCCCAGAAGGTGTCCAGCTGAGTGGTGAGATACCAAGTGTCCACCAGGTTTAGAGAGAAGACATTACCCCATAAACCTACAGAAACAACAAAAACATTTCAACAAGATCAAAATTCCATTACTGGACATAATTTGACTCTAAAATTTACATTAGCCAAAGTTATGTTGGAATCCAAAATTGGTGAGAGCCATATAACCAAAGAGAAATCTCGGATGGCCAAACTAATCACCATTTCATTCCGATGTACTCCAATAAATGGACATGCCACCGGGAACACAAGACAAATGCCTAATACCTTCTGGGTTGGATCATCAACCTATCGTTTAACACACCAACCTAATAATATCTGTGATGGTGTTTTTCTGTAGAACACAACACCATCACAACTATTAATCTGCAACTAACTCCTGGAAAAACTACATAATGGCGCGAGCTGCTAATAATATGGGCTTCACTAGCTAGACAAGTCATTTTGTGACAAAGAAGCCCATAAATGAGGAAGATTTTGCAATACCTCCGTTGTGATTTTCTCTCTTATTCCCATCAATAGTAATAACAAGCCGAACTTGTGGGAGAGAAAGCAGACCTTATTAACGTTGCCAGTTCCAATTGCGTATTGTGAATATCAATGCCTGGAGTTGTGTTAGGGCTGCAAATCTTATTAAACACACAGGTTGTAGAGATACATCGTTCATCCTTAAAATATGCAATTGTAGGTAACTCACTTCATTATATATCCATCCTATTGATTATCTAAACACTACAACACAAGAAATGATGTCACTGAATCTATGTGACAATGACTTTTCCATCCTTACGAACAGAAAATCTTACTCACATGACAAGAATGCTGAAAACATCCTATTTAGTAGCAGTACTTACTTTTACGCTATCAATAAAGTTTGACTTTGTACATTTTTTAAGTTTATAAAGTGGATAAAAAGTTTACAAAGAGTGAGTATACCTTGCAGGTAACATATACGGGGCTCTGGATTCCTCTTCATCAGACGGCCCATGTAGAACTCACTGCCAAAGTCCTCCGTTTTAATGAATGCGCCATATTTCAGGAGTCCTACTTCATATGGGGTGAACTCACACCATTCTACGAACATTGAAAGTTCCAGTTAGAATTAAAACTAAACAAAATGTGTGCTTGTATTATTATATGAACATAATCTATATGGTAATTACTCAGAATAAAAAGTTTAAATATACACATGTTAAAAGGAATTATTCATAATCCCCATATTTATATATATATATATCTTTAATCATTACTTAATAGATAATAGTTTATTAATCTCCAAATTACCCATGAAAATCAACAGTGATATAATGTATGGAGACATAGTGAACGAAATATTGAAATATATAAATTTCACGAAATGACTCAACATTCTGATTACCTTTAAAATCCAGCGTGCTAATGTGTCCGCGTTTAACGTTCATGGCAAGGTAAATGGGCAGAGGGTTCTGTCCACTTTCTAGGGCTGCTTTTTGGTCCGAAAGCTTGCTTTCATTTTTCTATAGAGAAAAAAAAAAAAAAAAGTAAATAAAGGCAGAATAAAAAATAGATTAAAATCTAAAATAAATCTTAATGATTCTAACTACGATTTCCTTTTTTCATAATAACGTTTTCCAAAGCGGTCTGGCTGTCATATAATTAACACATTGTTCTAGAAACCGTTGTAAGTCGCCCCTTGACATATCCAGCATGCTTTGCTGTTGCTGGGATTCACAACAATATTTCTTGGTCAGTATTTAGGAATTAATAGAATGTGCCATTACTAATCTTAGCGTTGTTCTTGTCACCATGCCTGTGTCTACACACCTTTAGAGGTCAACAATACTTACACAGACACAGTTGCATATCGTTTTATGCTGTGGAATGTCTGTAATGCTGCGTTCGTGATGACATAGAGATGCTTAGAATAAAGTTAGAATGAACACAGTGATTGCATTGGAGTTTTATAATCCATAGCACAGATTCCAGCTGTCATGTTGATTGTGTTTGATCTGAATTTTTGACCTGGCGACCAAAGCGCTAAGAGGCTGAAGATGTCTGCTTGTCACCCGATTTGTTAGTGCCTTGTTTATATCATACACATTGCGGTCTTACCCCATTATTAAACATCGACTCGATCATCAGCCCCCAAAGGTCTGTAAAGGAAGGTTTAAGGCCCTCCTTAGACGTGTTCTGAAGTTCCTTGCGATAATATTTCAGTCGATCCATGGAGAAGGTGCTTATTTTCTTTTTGGTGACATGTTTCTTTGCATTATTTACGGATTCTGAAAGCTCACTCTGTGACCAGTTAGGATCTTCGTAAAGTTTGCTCATTGTCCTAATAAAAAAGGTTTAGCGATCAATAAAGTGCGTTTTCTGCAACACGGCCACAATAATTAGTTTTACATTATTTGAATGCCAAAATAAACTAAGTTATTTAAAACCCCAAGTCACTTGTAAAGTCTTATGTTTATCAAACAAAGAATGCATCACATATCCTTCCTGAATAAAACTGGCATACAGTTAAAAGAGATTTGGATTTTTTAATTCAATTTAGTATCATGACTTTAAAACAAGTTCATGGGGGGCGTGGCTTGACCGGGAACCGAGCTGGACGTGCAAGCCTAGAGCTCCTCGCTGAACCCCTGTTCCAAACGCTTACAATAGCAAAAAACCACGGAATACCTACCCATCCCGACTCCTAATACACCATGGACAAGCGCCTGCCGAGAAAACCGGCCAAAAAACACGCAGACACGGCCGCCACAGTACCTGAACTTTTCGCGGCCTCCCGCACGCCGCGCCAGGACACACAAGATGGCGGCGGATACAGCCCGCGAGCTCCTAGCTCACCAGCAAACTCGAGCCCTCCTCAGACCCAAGGCTCCACCGCATCAGAAACTGCCCACACACTAACTGAACTGGCGGCGGTGAAAAGCTACCTCGCCCGGGAGATTGACCGGAGCTCTAAGGCAGTGATGTCGGAAATTCACAAGCTGGGGGAGCGTACGGCCGATCTGGAGCAGCGCGTGGAAACGACCGCAGTGGCCCACAACACGGTGGCCGCTCACGTGAACACCCTCACCGCCAGACTGGAGGCCTCGGAGGCAGCGCTCGAAGACCTGGCAAATAGGTCGCGCCGCAATAACATCCGCGTGCGCGGCCTGCCAGAACAACAAGACGAAGGCCCAATCGCCCCCATGCTCCTCGCACTCCTGCGACCTCTCTCACCAGAGATACCGGAGGAGCAGTGGCACATCGATCGGGCCCACAGGGCCTTACGCGCCCGGAGAGACGACAACACAAGACCCAGGGATATTATAGTCCGTTTTCTCCACTTCCAGACGAAGGAAGCGGTCCTGAGGAAAGCTAGAGAAAGCCCCATAACGTACAAGAACGTTGAAATCTCCCTGTTCCAAGATTTGGCCCCCATCACCCTCCAACGCAGAAGGGAATGGAAGCCAGTCACAGAGCTACTCAAGACCAACGCAATAAGGTACGCCTGGGGGCATCCCTTTAAATTACTGGTCTTTAAACAGGGCAGATCCCATATTCTCACGCCAGGCACGGACCCCATACCCTTCCTCCGCGCATTGGGCATCACAGTTCCGGAGAACTTCATGCTGCCCAACTCTGCTCTCCCGGCCCTACAACCCCTACCCCGCGATTGGTACACCGCCGCGGAGTAAACAGCCAGCAGACGACCAGCCACACCCAAGGCAGACCCATCCTCCCGGGAACGAGTTCACCGGGCCTCGGCCAGCAACACCATGACGACCTACCCATCCTCAGCACCCATCAGAAACAAAACTCCGGACAACAGAACTACAAAGACTCTCAGCCCACTGAGCGGACTGAAACAACAACGCCCGATGAAGATGCCCTCCAACTACGATGGACTCCTGCTCCGAAACTACACCTGCTGCATACACAGCTCAACGGACTCTTCCCCTTGACCACAACCAACATAGGACTCGGGAGCACCAAGGGCCCCCGCGGCATTCACGGCATCCTCCCCGCCCACAGCATCGAAGATAACCCACATTATGAACTTGCCCAGAGACTATTGCTGGCTTCTTGATATCACAGCAAGTACCAGTTCAAAGATACCGCAACTTAGACACTAAAGGGGAAAGCAAAGCATTTATGGGACACACATGTACAGTCACATAAGTCACCCAGGGCATACACACCACGCAAGTACAACTGCTCTAGACACGAATTCGCTACACAACCACACTACACAGAGACCAAGCTTCACGACAGGGACCACACCACGCGTAGAGAAAGCACACACATAGACGGCGGGGGCTTGCGGGCTGTGGGGGGGATGGGGGGGTGGGTGTCGGGTTGGGGGGGGGCGGGGCGGGGTGCGGGGCTATGGCACTGGGGGGCACAGGGACCATCTAGAGTGGGTGACATAATAGCAAAGATGGTGGATGTAAATGGGTTGAAGTGCCTCGGACTTGCATTGATATGTATTGCTATATGTCCTGTGCTCTCCCTCCCCGCCCCTGCCTCTCTCCCCCCGCTTCCCCCCTCGTCCCTGCCGCATACGGTCGCCCACCTGATAGACTAGTGACCGTCTCTGGCAGCCGGTCCCTCCCCTCCCCACACCCTAATGACAGAGGTCACACCCGATAAGCAGCAAAAGGGATTTAAAAAAAAAAAAAATAATAATAATAAAAAACAAAAAAAATAAAAAAATAAATAAATAAATAAATAAATGACAAAAACAAAAAAGACATGATATAGTAATAAAAAACTTGCCCCGACACAATGATGCCTACAAACAGGAGAACCATCGTAGACCAGGAAAAGCTACCTAAACGGGTAACAACTGCCCATTATTTCCCCATTTCGTGGAAAACACCGCTAAGCGGCTACTCCCAAGAGCACCCGGCCCCACTAAAGCAACACAAACCTTAAGAACCAGGGGCAGGGAAGACGAATCACCCAATAGACCATCAACTTGTACGCTGCACATTAAAGATGCAACAGACAAATGACATATGGTAACAGGGGATCACTTCGGAAAACAGGTTCATGACCCAACACTCCCAGACTGACACAGTCACAGGGAAGACCAGGGTACGTGCACCCCCCAACGGTCTGGCACGGAATAAGACCAGACCAATACGGCAACGCCGTATCACACCTTCTCCAAAACTCCTTAGACCCTCATCCTCCCCCACCAACCTACCTCCCCTACATTCCCCACCTACCCTAGGCCCTCATAGGTCTTGGACGATGACAGAGGCGCAACGTTCACATCCCCAACCACACACCCACCCAGTGACACAAAGGAACAGAGGTGGGAGCCGACCCCATGCCCCGCTGCGCAAACACACCATGCAAGCCGCAACGAACCACCACAGCCACCCGACCGTCCAGAAGGACAAAAAACGCTCACCGAAACCTCTAGATTATGGCTCTTAAGGTATCCTCGCTTAATGTAAAAGGCCTCAATGCTCCTCGCAAGAGGAGAACACTGTTCAAGGAGCTAAAAAGGTTAAACCCTGACATAGCCTTCATACAGGAGACTCACCTGTCTCGATCCACCCAGGTCTCCCTCCGAGACAACACATACCGCCTAGCCGCAGAGGCTCGGTCCTTCCGCAAACAGAACGGAGTGGCGATACTTACACATAAACGATGCCCAATTCACATAGCCCAAGCGACGTTAGACCCAGACGGTAGATATGTGCTAGTCACAGGCAGGATTCATTCCCAACCAATCCACTTCATCAACATCTACGCCCCCAACACACCCACACCCCAATTCTGGAACCAGTTGTCAGACGTAGTCCTTGCGCTCCCCTCCGGGATAATCCTCCTAGGGGGAGACCTGAACGCAACCCCAGCTCCAGCAATAGATAGAAGCACTCGCCCAGGACTAGTTAGGTCTCATGGCATGGGCGCACAAGACAAGCTATTACACCACTTTATCCGCAAGACAGGCCTCATAGACGCATGGAGGGCTCAACACCCCTCTGTTCAGGACTACACGTACTACTCGCCACCCCATGACACATACTCACGCATAGACATGTTCTTAACTAACCACGCAGGCTACACAAAAACACAAAAAACGGAGATAGGCACCATCGCATGGTCAGACCATGCGGACGTCGCGATCCATCTCCAAGGCATCCAGTGCCCTGCCCCATGGACATGGAGGCTAAACACATCCCTCCTTAAAGACCCTCAAGTAGTAGAGGACATACAGAAACAGCTAACCACATACTTCACAGAAAACCTAACACCAGAACTCCCCATGACCAAAGTATGGGCGGCCCATAAAGCAGTGATTCGTGGCTCCCTTATTAAAATAGCAACCTACAAAAAGAAACAAAAAACGCAGAAACTTACCCAACAGTTAGAAACCCTCCGCACAGCGGAGCAATGCCACAAAACCGACCCAACCCCCCATACGTTACAACGCCTCCAAACCGCCCGCTACGATCTCAGACAATATAGATGACACGGCACGAGCTCTCACTTGGACGAAAAGAACATACTATGACAAATCCAACAAAATGGACACACTATTAGCCCGCACACTACGACCTAGAACCCAACACCCACACATCACCAAGATAAGGGCCCCAGACGGCACACTGAAAACATCCCCAACAGAAATAGCACAAGCTTTCACAACCTTTTATAACACACTATACAACCATTCCCCCCAAGATGTCATGTCAATCACAGCGACGAAACAGAAAACAACCGACTTCCTCAACCAACTAAACTTACCAAAACTACACACTGCAGCCGCAACGGAATTAGCAGCACCAATCTCTAAAGATGAAATAAACATAGCTATCTCCTCTCTTAAAAGCAATAAAGCCCCCGGCCCAGACGGTTTCGAAGGCAGCTATTACAAAACCTTTAGGGAAACACTCATCCCACACTTAGAATCCTTATTCCAAGAACTTATGACGGGAACCCCACCAGACAGAGACATGACACGGGCAAACATTATCCTGCTACCAAAGCCAGGTAAAGACCACACCCAACCAGAAGCATATCGACCCATCTCACTCATAAACCACGACAGCAAAATCTTCGCCAAAATCTTAGCAGGTAGACTAAACCCATACCTGACAAATCTAGTTCACGCCGACCAAGTAGGATTCATACCCGGACGACAACTATTCGAAAATACGAGACGTAACATAGACATAATATGGCTGCTAGCCAACAAAAAAACGCCATCCCTAGCACTTTCCCTGGATGCTGAGAAAGCATTTGACCGCGTGAAATGGCCCTACATGTTCACCCTCCTAGAACATCTAAACATACCCCCCCCATACATAACAGCGATACGCGCACTATACACTTCCGTTTCGGCACAAATAAAGATAACTGGGACAAATAGCCCACCATTTAATATATCCAACGGTACCCGTCAGGGGTGCCCCCTATCCCCCCTACTCTTCGTGCTGACACTGGAACCACTCCTCCAAGCCATAAGGGAACACCCACAAATCAAAGGGGTCACAATAGCTGACCAAGAATTTCTAGTCTCAGGATATGCTGATGACGTCTTGCTGACTTTAACGGAACCCATCCCCACACTACAGGCATTGCTCCCACTCCTGACCAAATACGGTGAGATCTCAGGATACAAAGTTAACGTAGGTAAATCCAGCGCACTCCCAATACATCTCACACAGACGGACACGAATAAAATAACCTCAGATTATCACATACGAGTCACTCCAACCTCCCTCACATACCTGGGTATCAAGTTACCGGCAGACACCAACGAGCTCCACAGGCTGAACTACACACCCATGATAGACAATCTCATTTCGGACCTGGAGACCTGGGCGGATAAACCCATATCCTGGATAGGGAGAATACACTCCATCAAGATGAACATTCTACCCCGAATTCTGTTCCTCTTTCAGGCCATACCCATCCCTATCACAAAACACAATCTCATCCCCCTGCAACGGGCGATAGATAGATTTATTTGGCAGGATAAAAGGCACAGAGTAGCCCGCAACATACTTTACCGCCCCAGAACGAAAGGAGGCCTGGGCCTACCCCACCTACATTTCTACTACATAGCCGCACAGATGGCACAAATAGCCCTATGGCACACCCCCCCAGAAACTAGAAGGTGGGTAGACCTAGAATCAGCATTAATGGGATCAGACCTCCCACAATTCTACATCTGGACACCAAAAGAGCATAGAGCACTACCGAGAACGGCGTGCCCAGCCATCACCAACTCAATCCAATTATGGGATACTTATGCCCTCAAATACGACCTAACCACTAAGACCTCCCCCCTCACCCCCCTATACCGAAACAGGGCTTTCACGCCAGGTATGCGACCATGGGACTTCAAAGGGCTGGAGCACGCAGGTCTCCAGAGAGCGTGCCACCTATACATGGGCGACACAATAGTCTCCTTTCCAGACTTACAATCTAGAGCAACTCTGAAACCAGCCGACTTTTTTCGGTATTTGCAACTAAAACACTACGCGGCCCAAACGACGGTAAAAACCGCCGCCAAAACCACTCCGACATTCTTTGAACGCATCTGCATAGCGGAACAATACCATAGGGGCATGATCACCCAGCTCTACTCCCACCTCTGTTCCACCACTCGGGACTGGGGGGACCTGCAATACATAGACAAATGGGAAGCTGACTTAGGGGAAACACTAGAGGGAATTGACTGGCAGGAAATATGGGAAGCCAATTCCAGAACCTCCATTTGCGTCACGATGCAGGAACAGGCATATAAAACGATGCTACGCTGGTACGTCACACCGGTCCAACTGAAAAAACCACATGAAAAAAACACCCACGGACCTCTGCTGGCGTAACTGCGGAGAAAAAGGGACGTACGCACATATGTGGTGGTACTGCCCCATAATTAAACTGTTCTGGGAAAACATCCAGAAGCTAATAGCGCAAATCTTACATAGACCGATAGACACAAACCCATGGACATTCCTGCTGGCTAGACCCCTAGACGACCTACCCAGACCTGAACAACAATTGCTTAACAAGATAACATTAGCAGCTAGAAAAGCCCTAGCCCAAACATGGTTACAACCAAACCCTCCCTCAATGACCGCAGTACTCAACAAGATCAAAGAGTGTCACCTCATGGACAAACTGACGGCTCAAATACGAGGCACTATGAAAGCTTTCACAAAGGTATGGGAACCATGGGATAACCACACAGATGACTAGCAAACCACTAGAAACGTCCAAGACCACTTCCCCCCCCTCCCTCTCCATCCCCCCCCCCTCTTTTTAGGTTAATTCACCCCATCCCCAATACAAGGTCGGACTTTCCGGTAACCCGACCTAGATGCTCAACACGCCAAAGCCGCTGCACCGCGACGGCAACCCAAAGGCCCTGTTAAGAATAACCTCTTATGTTATAAGTTGTAAGTTATCTGAATGTTGTTCTTACCGTATTTGTTGAAAAACGATGACAGACAGGTGTAAATCTCAAAAGATGTACGTGTAATAACCTATACACTGCCTGAACGATATCGCGGCTTCTGCGCAAGCCACTAAATTGCACTACCTAATTATATCTGTCATTGACAAAATAAAAAATAAAGAATTATAAAAAAAAAAAAACAAGTTCATCTCCGGTTCCTGCACACGAGAGAAGCAGAAGTGACATAATCTTGGAGTCCAGTATTGGGGAAAGACAATCTAAAAGTTCACTTGGCTAGCAGAGTAATAAAGAAAACACAAACACACCAAACAAAGCACGCACACACAGACACACGCACACAGACACACACACACACGCACACACACACAGACACAGACACGCACACACAGACATGCACACACACACACATGCAGAGACACACACAGACATACATACAGACACTCATTGGTTAAGAGGTTTGTGAATGACTCTGGAAGAGGTTGCTAACTGATAAATTAACCATTTCAGTATATTCTCCCCTTACCATGTAGAGCCAGAGGCCCCTGCAATGTAGGTGATACAATCTAAAAGCCCCATCTTCTGAAGGCCGCACAGATGGCTGTACAGAGAAGACATAGCTCGCGCACCACCTCCAGTGGCCATGACAGCTACGACAGGAACCTGCGGACAAAACAACACAGAGGAGTCTATATTGATAATAGGTAGAGAATAGGATGGCAGAGTGTTTTATAGTGTCTGTAGAAGTGATTTGTGATCAGAGGACACATAGAAATATCTTATACTTTGTTCAGCTTTTCCTATACAGGTTCCGAATCTCTAGGTTGTGTATGAGAAGCGTTAGAGGAGGTAAATGTGCGTCGCAGTATTGTTACTGATAGAATGCTATATTCTTACAACCAATTATCTTCACATTCTAGGATTTATATAAATATAACCACTACTGCTGCCTATGGTGCTTAGAGAGTCCTGATAACCCTTTATATCAGCTGGTTAGAGTAGTGGTAATGTCACTGAATTCAAACTGGGAAATCCATGTTCGAATCCCAGTCAGTAGACTTGGCATTGATGCTCTTTGGTCTATATGTTGGCAATATATAAATAATAATAATAATAATAAACAAAGCTTGTGGATTTCATGCAATTTATGGTTGCTCAGAATTGGTACAGCAGTTATGTTTGCACACATTTATATAAACACATAGATTTTAGATCGGGGGTGCCCAAAAGGCAGATCCCCAGATGTTGTAGAACTAAAACTCACATGATGCTTTGCGTGAATGACAAGGCATGGTGGAAGCTGTCATTTGAAGACATCTGGGGATCCCTATATTAGATCATTATGGACAATACATCATTTACTGCTCACTAACCTCTTCTCCCACCAAATCTTCTTTTAGTTGGAGAACATTTTTTAGTCCTGCAGCCACAACCTTTTGTCTCTTGCTCAAAAACTCTTTCTCCTGATCACACAGATCGAAGCCCAGCCGCACATCAAGTTTCTCGGGACTGTAAAGACATACAGTTACATTTTACAAACTTTTATTCAAACTGATTTTTAATATCTTGGATGTATGATTTTCAAGTGTCTTTTCATGCCATTGAAATACACGATTTATTTAAAAAAATTAATAAATGGGGTTAAAGAATTTTGCTAATTTAACTGATGTCTTTTGGCTGGACGACGCAGTAATTAATAGCTCTTTAAGTGGAAAGGGATTTAAAGGGTTACTCAATGAACCGTAACCACTTCAGTGATTTAAAGCAGAATCTTTTTTTGCTATGAAACACTGCACATACAGAGTTAACCCCTTCTGCTGCCAGAGGTGTAACAGCTACAGCATCATTTGTCTGTTGGGTAATGTTCATTTTCTGCAATTTTTCATGCACAGTAGTGCATTTATTAGCCAAGAGCAGTCAGCTGACATTCTCAGCCAATGAATGGTGACTGGAACGGCTAACGCTGAGAAGAAACCAGTAGCCTGGTTACTAAACGGTTTGCCCCATTACTGGGTAACCAAGCTAAGGTACGCCTGGCATCATAACCATTACAGGCTATGATGGTGATGATGCTTGGAGTTACTCTTTAATATGATTCTGTAGGCTCTAGGAGTCTCCAGTACAAGGTGATTGATTGGCTTACAAACCCATCCAATGGCATTGGCCTGCTTGACACTATTAAACCAGCCCAAATTCTGACATTCATGTGCTGGAAGGTGGGTTTCTCAAAATAGAATTATTTTGGGAGGCACAGATGGGGTGCATGGGAGCAGTTTCTAGCATTTTGCTATAGAGTGAGATTAAGCACCTCTAATGACTTAGATCTCTTGTTTAGAAAACTCAAATACAACTTTCTATATTAATGAAACTCATACGACACTCCATCACTGCTGAAGGCATTGTGCTGTGACATCTCCAGAAACACGTACAAAAAGGGATAGAACCCACAGTATCAACGTGGCTATCTAGTGATACATGGTAATCTCTAAGATCCAGAAAGCCAGAGACTGAAGAGACCTTTTGGCAATTCATTTCTTTTAACACGATTACCGAGTGCTTGGCTGTGTCTATGACATGTTTAGAAGCACAGATATAACCGAACCCTGATACGTAAATAATAACAACCAGGGAAACTTTTTATGTGGATGCAACAGCATCAGCAGACACTATCTAGTAAAAATAGCACTTGTAATTAGTTAAAACCAGAGCTTTCAATCTAAAACTGGTTGGCTGTGATCACATGTGACCAGGATGGGGACACCCTCTTCAGAGCTTCAGAAGAAGGGTTGCACGGGACATCCCAACTGAAATCCTGATCGAATACTAACTTACCATTCTTTCAACTTCAGTTGTATTTCCAGAGGCATGGCCTGCAACAAGAATGATTGAATTTAAATATTTATGTCATTATTCCATTTAATAAAACAATATGGTCTCTCAGAACTAACATTAATGAGATATATTTAACTCATCATACCAATGCTGTCACATAATTAGAGACACATGTTTAATCCATGGGATATATTCCCTAAACATTGAATTGTCAACAGACACGTTTGGTTGTGGCTTCCGTGGCTAATTTAGAAAACATGCTCATGTTTCGGCATTCACTTCATGTTAATCCCCTGACAATTATTCTATTTCCAGTGATTTCGCAAATTTGGCTGTGGTGCATCATAGCTCTAACAAAATCTACACCAAGTACAACCGAGAAATATAGAGAAACAAATTTGCTAATCTAATTTCTCTAATCTGTGACATAGCAAACTGTCATTCCAAATATAAAGAGTAATATTATAGCTTACTTAGCTTCATGGATTTAATACTATCAACCAAATAATGAAACAGTAATCAGCCCAGAGGATGTTTGAATGGGCAAAGAGCATTTATGGTCATTTACACAATATAGGAATTTATTAAATCCATGATATGGGATGGAGGAAGACTCTCCATAATTTTCCTGTCTTCATAGCAAAGTATTAATGAGCAAAAGATAGAATTCTCCAGTTCTCCCCTAGTCCTCCTGGAGCCTTGGAAAATAGATTTATTTTAATTATAATGTAATACAATATGTCAGTATATTTTGTTTCTGGCTATCATATCACGCTACAGAAATATCTGCGTAATTAGATCTAGAATTGCTCTGCAACTATCGGGCTCCCATTTGAGTAAATGTGGCTGCCTTACAATTCCGCCCAGTTTATTTTTCTTAATTCAGATGCTAACGAATACACGGAATGGAACCAGACCAAAACTAAGTACTGTGGACAATTTTATGTTAGTAAATAAACCCCATATCTACTCTAAAATGCATATTTTGTTTGTTTGCGGCAGAAGCCTTTAAACCTAATTAAATGATTTATGTCTAATTGGGTAGTTGGTCATCGTTGGCTTTACCATCGGCCTCTTGGCTTATTACATTTTATTTATATAATGAAAACCTGCTGGGGAAAAAAAATGACAAGCAATCACATTTGGAATGAAATTGAGAGGTCACGATCTCGGATGATTAACTTGCCTGTATTTGTGGGACACATTTAATAAGTGAGGCACCCACGTCCCATAATGCATGAGGTTTCTAGAAGGGAGTCCGTATTAGAAATGACATTCGGTGAAAACAATCAATTTGTGAAAGATTCAAAACTCTTTTTCATGTATATATACACATATACATATAGATATATATACATACACATATATACAGTACATATATTATGATCTTTGCCTGCAGGTAGCACGGTCCTCTTGGGCCCAAACATGCATAGTCTTTTTGAAAAACAAAAATGTAACAAAACCCTATAAACAAAAACCTAGCTCGGTCTGAGCACTAACTGACATCAAGTTCCCTCTCTCTCAAGGGTTTAATCTATAACAAAAACAAGAAATGGTTTCACCAACCTAGCGTCTTTTCCAGCTCTCAGCACTCCAGTGTTTCTGACAGCCTGCTGCTTCCCTTTCTACACTCCTAGTGCTCCAAGCCAGCCTTGACTGCTTCCCTTTTGCACTCACAGTGCTCCAAGCCAGCCTTGACTGCTTTCCTTTTGCACTCCCAGTGCTCAGTCTCCTTGACTCTCTTACTGGAGAGAACAGCCTCACTCCTACCTGCTTCCAGGGAGGAAGCCAGCAATCCCTCTTCACCTGGCTAGCAGGGAGGGGTTTATTCCCACTGCTACAGCTGATTATCTGCAGCTGAGCAGTGGGTTGGAGACAGCTCCAAAAAACTCTGGCCTGGACATTATTTCCCCCAGTTGTGTATAAACTGAGGAGTGGAGCATTGGCCCACCCTGCTCTCCAAATGCTCCACCCCAGGGGCCCATAACTAAACGGTGGATTGTGTTGCCTACAACGCATACTACACATACTCCCCCTAGGGTTAAATGTTATAGGCCTATCTGCCTTCACTTTATCACAATATACACAAACAATATATATAGAGGTGCTATAAAGAAAATGACTTAGAAAGAACCTGAAATATAATTAAAATAACATTCACAAATGTATATTATTGTTGTTAGAGGTACAGATGGAAATAAATCAAAAAGTACCAAGGTAAAAGGCTTAGGCACCAACAGCGAGACGGATATCACTGGGCGTATCCTGGACTAGAATCCCACCCTTCTCCACTGATTGAGAAAAGTGGATAACAAATGATCCTAATATTCTTAACAGAGATAAGAAAATGCAGATGTACATGCTGGGGGGTGTATAAAATAGTTCATTCATGGATAGTACTGGGACTGAAATGAGCTAATTAACCAGTATACGCTGATTAAGGACAAGACAAATTGGGATAAATATCTATCCAGTATCTGTGGGACTGTAAACAGGGATGATAAAACCAATCACAAACAAAACCAGGGTACATTTAACATGTGGAACAACTTTCCTGATGTAAATTGGAAAACAAAATTAGCTACTTGTGCCAGGAGCACACATATTCTAAACTCCCTACTGGGATTGTCTCTAAAACAAGTTGTTGAGGAGCCAACTCGTAAAGAGGCCATACTAGATTTAGTGTTAACAAATGGAGATTTGGTATCAGATGTTACTGTAGGTGAAAGTTTAGGATCCAGTGATCTGTGGTACTCCGCAGATGTGGCCAAAATAGTTAAAAACAAAAAGTTAGCATTTAGGAATTATAAAAAAAACCAGAGTGAGGAAGACAAAATGATCTATAAGATTAGGCAGAAAGAGGCTAAGCAAGTTATAAGAGCTTCCAAATCACACACAGAAGAGAAAATAGCACAGTCAGTAAAAAAGGGGGATAAAACATTTTTTAGATACATAAATGAGAAAAGAAAAGTAAAACAAGGATTAGTTAGATTAAAAACAAAAGAAGGAAGGTATGTAGAAGAGGATAAAGGTCAGGCTGACTGCCTCAATGAATATTTTTGTTCTGTATTTACAGAAGAAAATGAAGGAAAGGGACCTCAGTTGAGAAAAAGGATAAATGAGTCATTTATTACACGTGAGTTTACAGAGGAAGAGGTTCTATTTCAACTGTCAAAAGTAAAGACAAATAAGTCAATGGGACCTGATGGAATACACCCAAAGCTATTAAAAGAGCTTAGTGGTGTACTAGCAAAACCATTAACAGATTTATTTAACCAATCATTGTTAACAGGAGTAGTCCCAGAAGATTGGAAGTTAGCGAATGTTGTGCCCATTTACAAGAAAGGTAATAGGGAGGAGTCGGGCAACTATAGGCCAGTAAGCCTTACTTCAGTAGTGGGGAAAGTGATGGAAACCATGTTAAAGGATAGGATTGATGAACATCTAAAAACACATGGATTTCAAGATCAGAGACAACATGGGTTTACTTCAGGGAGATCATGCCAAACTAATCTTATTGATTTTTTTGATTGGGTAACTAAAATTATAGATCAGGGTGGTGCAGTAGACATTGCTTACCTAGATTTCAGTAAGGCTTTTGACACTGTTGCACATAGAAGGCTTATCAATAAACTGCAATCTTTAAGTTTGGATTCCAATATTGTTGAATGGGTAAGGCAGTGGCTGAGTGACAGGCAACAGAGGGTTGTAGTTAATGGAATATATTCGAAGCTTGGACTTGTCACCAGTGGGGTACCTCAGGGATCTGTACTTGGACCCATTCTCTTTAATATTTTTATTAGTGATATTGCAGAAGGTCTTGATGGTAAGGTATGTCTTTTTGCTGATGATACTAAGATATGTAACAGGGTTGATGTTCCAGGAGGGATAAGCCAAATGACAAATGATTTAGGTAAACTAGAAAAATGGTCAGAATTGTGGCAACTGACATTTAATGTGGATAAGTGCAAGATAATGCATCTTGGACGTAAAAACCCAAGGGCAGAGTACAGAATATTTGAAAGAGTTCTAACCTCAACATATGAGGAAAGGGATTTAGGGGTGATTATTTCTGATAACTTAAAGGTAGGCAGACAATGTAATAGAGCAGCAGGAAATGCTAGCAGAATGCTTGGTTGTATAGGGAGAGGTATTAGCAGTAGAAAGAGGGAAGTGCTCATGCCATTGTACAGAACACTGGTGAGACCTCACTTGGAGTATTGTACACAGTACTGGAGACCGTATCTTCAGAAGGATATTGATACCTTAGAGAGGGTTCAGAGAAGGGCTACTAAACTGGTTCATGGATTGCGGGATAAAACTTACCAGGAAAGGTTAAAGGATCTTAACATGTATAGCTTGGAGGAAAGACGAGACAGGGGGGATATGATAGAAACATTTAAATATATAAAGGGAATCAACACAGTAAAGGAGGAGACTATATTTAAAAGAAGAAAAACTACCACAACAAGAGGACATAGTCTTAAATTAGAGGGACAAAGGTTTCAAAATAATATCAGGAAGTATTACTTTACTGAGAGGGTAGTGGATGCATGGAATAGCCTTCCAGCTGAAGTGGTAGAGGTTAACACAGTAAAGGAGTTTAAGCATGCGTGGGATAGGCATAAGGCTATCCTAACTATAAGATAAGGCTAGGGACTAATGAAAGTATTTAGAAAATTGGGCAGACTAGATGGGCCGAATGGTTCTTATCTGCCGTCACATTCTATGTTTCTATGTTTCTATTATATATCCCTTTTCTTAATCAGTAGATGAGGGTGTGATCCACTAGCTAAGGGAAATTCTCATTCTCAAGGTTTCCTTTTGGTATAGATGCAAATAAAACAGCAAAACTATGTAGCAGTATTAAACAGTGTGTATTCCCCAACTGCGTAACATCTGCTTTTTAACTCTGCGTTACAGTTTCACCAGAGTTTCTCAGTTTTGGTTATTACCCCAAGATGAAAATACTAGTTTAATTTTAGAAGCCAATAATATCTGATTTGAGTGTTACAAAAAAAGACTTGTTTGAAATAAATAAACCAACACATAAACTTAAGATGTAAATCAGTACGTTATTGTTAAAGGTGATATATGCGCCTAAATATTCAATAATCGTAACAAAAGCTGAGATACTTCCTTATTACCCATACGTTTCGCTTTGTTTTTTAAATGATAAATAGCATTGTTTACTTGCCTCTGTTCCTGTCAACTGGACCTTAGTTTCGCTGTCCGGAGAAAGTAACGTAAGAGGTACTGTGGTCAGGTTGAAATCATTTTCTGCATCGTTAGTCTAGGTCGCAAAAAAATATATAATGAAAGATACATGTATGAAATCATTACTAATTTTAATTTCTTATTTATTTTTCTCTCTATAACTATCTGCTTCAAACTATATCACAAATATAAAAACCCCAAGCTGTAGTTCCATCATCAAGTATGTTTGATCTCAATATTTAAATATATAGAGAGAGTTATATATAATATATAAATATACAGTAGATTTATTTATTTTTACTGATCCTCCTGTTTTCATCCGTGGGTCACTTCTCACTTGATATTTAAATAAAATAAAAATTTGTCATCACAGATGGACTGGAGATCACATTAGAAGGAAAGGTAGTCATGTAGATACTGTGTTTATTTTTAAGTAATTTCCTGCTCATAGTCTTGGACAGACAACACATTTTACTCCAAGGCCTCAGAAAAAGTACCTCGCTAGTGACACTCGCACAAGACGGCTGGCTAATGTAGCTTCATGCTTCTAAATGAGTAGGATATTCTAATTTGAAACAGTATCATTAAATGGAAATTGTCACTTCTCAGAATTTTTAAGAATAGGTTTCCTTGTCCCCCACATTTAACAAATATGTATTAGCGAGGAGTGAAAATGGAAACTGAATTTAGCTCTCGTTTCATCTAGTGGTAAACCTGATTGCAGAAAAACTTGGGCATTTTTGAACGTTTCAACTTGTAGCCACGATAACAACTTACAAATGTGACATCCAAAGGTGGGTACACTCTATTCAGACTTGCAGTGAGTTCTGTCCCCCAGTCTCTTGGGTAATGGAAAGCAAATGTCTCTTTCGAATCGGATCCATTTGTGTCATGTGGAGTAATTATTATCTTGTGAGTTTCTTCATATGAGCCTGTGACCGCCAAAGCCAGCTCGTTTTTTTCTAAGATCACACAATCATAATTATTATTATAGAATGAAAAATAAAATTTAAAAAACGGCAATAAAAAAAACGTTTAATAAAACAAAACAAATATGTTTTATTCTTGTATGGTATAGGCAAAGGGAATAAGAACAAAAAATAGATTAAATAAAATATGTTGATCTGTTAGATTCGTGGGAAAAAAAGGATTAGTGATAACGTAAAAGCTGAAATTCAGAATATCTGAGTTAAAGCTTGGATTATTTTGTCTCAAGATTTAGTAATTTTGGAGTGACCTTAGAGGAAGAGAGGGGACTCACAGATTCACAAGTTCGAAGATAGATTATTCGGAAGAGGGTAAAATATATTTACTTTTGAATTTATTTGTTTCTTGTTTTTCCACTTGAATTTCCAGAGAAGTCATTTCCGGACACTAAAATATAGAAATATACTCCTATCACACATATGGAAGCATTTGTTTATATAATTGTATCTAACAAAGCTACAAACAGGTTTCAATTCAGTTTACGTGCAATAAATGGGATCAGCTCATTTGTGATTCCTGGTTGCACGTATTAGTAAATAGTTTGGTGCATCAGGCAGTTTGCAAGAAACAAGGTTCGCTTTTTATCATTTTAGTAATTATGATGCATGCAGAGTAGCTAAAATGGTCAATAAAGATATTTATCCAGGTCACACATTCCTTACTGGAAACTAACTAATGATTTTAATGGCTATATCAAAATAACTGCATGCAACGTACGGCATGAATGTTCACTGACATGAGCATGGGGTCTCCTCCAACTTTTGTGAGGTTAGATAAGATATCAATCTCCCCTGTGCTGATCTCAGTTTAATACACCTACTCTGCAGAGTGACAACGATCTTGGCTGCTATTTACTAAGAATTAGCAATGTTTTCTCACCACGTATAATCGGTTTGATGATTGTTAACTCTGTCTGTGTGTCAGCAGGATCTGGTGTGGCACAAATTGCTAGTTTGTTTGGACTCCTTGTGTTGAGAAATTGTAATACATTAATAACCCAGTAGAATGGGTTGACTCATGAAATAAGCCATTTATAGTGCTATAAAATTACAATGTTTTATTTACACACAGCTACCTAACTATCTAATGATTTACAAGCTCCTCAAATAAAGAATGTTTGGATACATTATAAAGAATGCTTGGATAATATATGATGTCACCTGCTCATCCTATGGTAGCACATGATGTGTATGACCTCACGTTTGTTGACTCTGCCATTTTAACTAACGAGTAATGGAATATAAGGAGATAAAAAAACAGGATTTTTAGGTGAAGAATTGGCAGGATACTTTAAATTCCCTGCCATTAAAGAGTTAAATCACTTTGTTTATGCAGCCCAAGTCACACCTCCCTGCATGTGACTCACACAGACTTCCTAAACACTTCCTGTAAAGTGAGATTTAATGTTTACACTTGCTTTATTGTAAATTTTGTTTTATTTGGACTTTCTTATCTCTTGCACTGTTAATAGCTTCCTGTGTGTGATTAAAGTTTAATTTACAGAGCAGGAGATAAAAACTTCTAAGGTAAGTTAACATATTGTGGAAAATGAAACCATGATTTCATGCATGTTGTGTCAGTCACAGCTGGAGGGTGGCTAGGGCTGCATAAATTGAAACAAAAGTGATTTAACTCCTAAATGACAGAAAATTGAGCAGCGATACACCACCAGGACAATGATCTTTACAACAAAACTGAGTGAACATGGCGTCTTATACCTATAACGAACTATTGTAGTCATGATATTTGATTTGCCGTAGCAGTTTCTGTTGCAGTTTCTTTTAATACCTCTTTTGCTGAACTAACAGAAATTTTTAGTGACGAGCTTCCGGGTGGTTTAAAGCATTAGATTTGATAAAGGGAGGAACTCCCAAAGGCTTGTCACTACAAATTACTGTTCAATAAAAAGAGATATTTGAAGAAACTGCAATATTTTATTAATTTGTGTCTTAGACTATTGTTACAGCGCAACAGTGTATTCTAAGGAAGGCAACACACAGCGTTTACAAGTAGCTTACCACTAAAACGCCGTTAGTTGTGACCATTTTCTTTGGTTCTGGGCTAAAACAACACAACATTAATTAGTAAATTAGATGGTATTACATTGCAGCAGACATATAACATCAACAGCACAGGTCTAGGATATTCTCACATATTTTTATACAGTTTTCCCACATCACTGTTTCACGTTGTATTGGTGAAAATACATATTTATTTTCCTTTGTAATTTGGCAAACTACATTGAGGTTTTCGAAAACCACCTACAGACATTCTCATGAGGTTTGGGTGTTGTCCAGTAGTTAGGGCTTTGTTTTTTTTTATTCACCGGTTATTGCATTCGACTAATGATAGTTGGGTTACATTACATTATCAATACATTTTAAATAGTGACCTGTTCCTTTATTATATCTGAGCTAATGTGTTTTACACCCCACCTCCTAAAGAATGTTAGCTCGATTGAGCAGGGTCCTCTTTAACCTATCGTTCCTGTAAGTTTTTTTGTAATTGTCCTATTTATAGTTAAATCCCCCATCTCATAATACTGTGAAGCGCTACGGAATCTGTTGGCGCTATATAAATGTCGATCATAATAATAAAGAGAGAAATTAGGAAAGTATTTTTTAAGGATGCAGCTTTGTCCTTACACATAGGGATCTGTACTTTTTTTTTTTAATTTAATAAAAATGTATTTATAATTTTTAACGTTTAAGAAAATGATTAAGAGATGAAAATTTTGTGAAAAGTGTTGGGGTCCGCTTTTCGTTTTCACTAGTTTTGCGAGCACGAGCCATTTTCTTGAAACGGTTACAAATCGTCCATCCTTCTGACAATTTTTATTCTTCTTTAACACTGATTTCATTTACAGGATGAGACTAATGATGAATACGACCAGAAAAAAAAATCGTATTCATTAATTGAAGGATTTATATACATTGTAACAAAAAGGAAAAATGTGAAAACTGCTTGCTTGTCTCATAAAACATGGAAACAATGTCCTACAGAAATTGCACACTTCTGAATTTTTTTTGTTTTTTTCATACAGTGACAAACTTGTGAATAAAAAATAAAAAACAATAAAAATGACATTTCAGGCTTTTCAACCGCCCTGATTTCGGCAGTAAGGTATATTTATATAAAAAAGCAAAAATAGGACAAACGACTGTAAAAACTCTCATCACAACGCTTATTATACCTTGCCCTCCATGGAGTCAACCTGTATTCGTATCAAACTACTGAAAGTTACAGATGTTTATGTATTCGTTTATTTAAAACACTGAGGCCTCCATTTAATATTTTTGGATATTTTCAAACGTTCAAAATCTGTTGGAAAAACTTTCAAAATTATTTATCTAAATAAGCCTCCATTAAAGTCCTTTAAGGATTTTTGTAGAGAAATTATTTTTAGAGTTTTTATAAAAGAGTGCGATCATTTGTTAAAAACATATCCAAAAATATTAGATTGAGGCTATGTGCTTTTCCGTATTTTTTTCCTTCATTACAACATGAAGCAGATGTATGAAAAGATTAGTTTGATGGTATTTATTAATTTGTTAAACGATGACACACATAAAATCAGTGCCAGCTCCAGACTAAGATGAGAATCCAAGATAACATGCATAGATACTTGTTACTTACATATCCACCATGTCGAATTCTACCTGGAGTTCTTCATTATGCTAAAATTAAGAAAACTCATTATTCCAAATTGTATTTGCAACAAAACTTTGCAGTTGCCTTGTTAATTGTTTATCATTCCTGGTTTAATGAAAATTTAAGAAAAGCAAAAAAATTAAAATCTTCATTCATTCATTTGTTATCCTTCACAGAAACAGTGGGGGATATAAAGTGTAATATAATATACAGTATCCTCTATCTTTCAATGTAGTAGCCTTAAAGGTGAAACACCATTTTTCCTAAGTTGATATGATAAAATTAGACAAAGAAAATGGTTAAAAACCTTGCTTGTGGATATTTAGGAACCCGCTGGCATATAGGAGAACGCAACTTCCCAAAAATGTCATCAGGGTTTTATTATTTATTTATTTATTTTCTTTTTATTTATTTAAGACTTTGCAACCATATCAGCAAGGCATGTAAAGAACATTGAAATGACCGTTAGCAGACAAACATTGGAATTATTCAAGGTAATGTACAGTAATGTAGATTTCTGCAAATATTTAATAATAGTGCAGCATTGTGCAAATTGCAATCTCAAGATGACGTATGTCTGTCATTTACGCACAGAGGTAATCCTAAACAGGGTACCCTCCTTTCCCTCATTAGTGATTGAGATTAGATTGAGTAAGGTTAGTGGGGGAGGGGGGGGTTGAGGAGAGAGAGGAGGAAGGAAAAATAGAAAGAGAAAAAAAAGGGGGTGGTGGGGGGGTAGGTGTAAATTCACAGCAAATGTATGTCCAGCAAGCCACCCCGCAGTCTCCGGCTCCAACATCTGCACAGGTATGGCTAGTGCCTCTTAGTTTTCCATTGCTGTATCTGCAATTGGTTTACTATCTCTGAGAGTGAGGGTCACAGGACAAGGTGGCATTATGCCGATGTATGATTCACCATCCATCGCCCTTAGTCTGTGTCTTGCAAGGCAGAGGTTAGGGGCCTAGCTTCTCTCCCGGAGATAAAATCCATCCATGGTTTCCCACAGTTGCGTGCATCTATCCAAGGTGCCCCTAAGAGCGGCTGTGAGACATTCCATGTTATATAATGCTTCCACCCATCCCATCCAGTTTTGGGTCGTTGGGGCTTCTAGTTTCCCCCAGAGTGCCAGGATCAAGGCTTTGGCAGCATTCAGAGGGTGGCTGGTCAGGAATTTTTTATATATATATATATTTTTTCCAGTTTGACAATTTTTATTTTCAAATAAATCTTGGGATACATAAAGGAGAAGGGGGTTAGGGTGGGACATCACATATTACCGTCATAAATATTATCCGTTGTTACTTAGTACAGTATCGCGCAGTGACATTTTATACCCATTGTCTGCTCTGCACTTGCCCTCTACCATTAGTTTCTGGAACCTCTCTTGCTCCTCATCTCTCTGAGCGTACACCTTTCGGTCCCAACTAAGTGAGCTTGAACTACTCTGTACTGGGTTAGTGTGCGCTCCCATTTTTGTATAGTACTCAAATGTTCTAATGTTCTAAAGTTCTGCGCCCTCTGAGTCTCCCAATCAGTATCCCAGTGAAGTAGGGGGTAAAAATGCTGGTGGGGTGGGGTTTGCCAGCCGTCCTACCAGTTTTGTCCTCTTATTGTTCTTTGTGTTATTCCTCTCTGTACCCTTGTCCGACCATCTACTACCTACTCTATCCTCTTGTTTCCCCTCTGTTCCCAGTCCATTGATCTCCACCTTACACCCATGGGGGTATGTACCTTGTGTGTTTCAAAGTCTCCTTAGGGGGTAGATACTGTGGTTTGTGTACTATTCACTGTCCATCTTCTCCGTGGGGGCATTTATGGCTTCCCAACTAAGTTGTGCTTCCTCAAATCTTTGGCTGTTGCCGTGGGTTTTCCTCACTACCTTTTCGTATTGTAAGTTAGTGGTGCTTTGTCTCGTTAGGGCAAGTTTTGTCGGTGCTGTTATGTTTTTCCATTCTCTAGCTATGAGCGTTAGGGCTGCTATTAATATGTGGAAGATCAGTGTTGCCCCACTTCCCCTGAACTGGCCCAAGTCCATAAATAGGATGCTCATTTCTGGGGTAAGTGTGATGTTGGTATCTACAACTGCTTTGATAATGCTCTCTACCAATTCCCAGTAGGGACGAATCACCCCGCACGTCCACCATATGTGGTACATCGTGCCTTCCGTCTCCCCACATCTCCAGCACTTTGCGGATGTTCCCGGGTAAATTTTTGCCAGTCTGACCTGCACGATATACCATCTATAATATATTTTCCTCATTAACTCTAAGTGTGATGTACATGTTGTCTTCCCCTTATGAATTTTTTATATTTAGATAGAGGATGCTTTGTATTGTGAAACAGCATATGCAATGGCTGTAGTGGTAGTTCAAAGCCGAGGATTTCCAGAATCAACTTATGTATCTGTTGCCAGAATGTGGCTATCTTGTGGCAGGACCACCATATATGAATAGCAGTATCTCTGGAGATGCCATACTGCCAGCACAATTCTGAATGTTCTGGGGACATTCTGGGCAGTTGGTCTAAGGTCCGGTACCAACCGGTGATCAATTTGTAGTTGCGTTCCCGGATTTTAGAGTCAGTTGCGCCATGGTGAGCTAAGATGTGAATTTTCTTCCATTGTTGCTCGTTTAAAGTCGTTCCTGCGCACTGTTGTCATCAGGGTGTTAAACAAATATTTGCATACAGAAATTACAGTTACTTGGCAAAAATAGGAACTTGTTTGATAGGGCATTGCAGGTTGCATTTAAAATGTTCTGGTTTGACTTTCCAATTCCCTTGCCCGGCTGATACAATGTAGCCAATTATTTTGCGCTGTATAACCTCCTGTACACCAAGAGAGGGAAGTGATGAGTTGAGCCCACATTGGAGAAATTTGTGAATAAGGTAAGTGATAAGGTATGAAATGCTGCTTCATTACAGAAAAGCAGACACATAGGAAATGGTAAACCATATATTAACATTTCAGATTATGTCACAGTTATGCGCATACCAGGAAAACCATTGCAAAAGAGATGTAACACAACATTAGTTAACATCCAGCCTTGACTTTCCACCTGTTTCTCACTACATTAATGATAACTATGACATACTTTGACATTTCACAATCACACATTTTAAAAATAAAAAGTTCTCACACTTACCTTTGTATTTAGAGGAAATGTTTTCAGCATTGGATTGTTAAGAGTGACATTGGCCAAATCGTAGCTCACGGTATAGAGATGGTCATCTTTGGTGCCAACATCCTCATCATGTACTGACAACTCCAAGACATTCTTTGGAAAATAAAGTAACATTCAGAAATGTGTTGACATGTTAGAGTCAATTCGATTTTGATAAGTGCCATTTTATGGGGTGAACACTTGAAAAGAGAGTTGTTTAACTAAGAGAGAGTTGTTTTACTAAGCTGCCAAAGCATCACCAGACTTAAAGTCTAGTGATGCTTTGGCAGCTTAGTAAAAGATCATGGGTTCTGTCGTTTTGCTATGCCTGGAGAGTCTTTTGGCCATTGGTCAACAATACAGCTTGTCTTATAGAGATGTATAATTTTTTTTTATTTTTTTTTAAGGAAATAGAATTTATAAATGGGTGAAAAATATTAAAAAATAAAATAAGTTAAAATAAAATATGGTTTATATACCGGGTGAAAAAATAAAATATAAAAAAAAATAAAACCAGGTTTATAAATGGGGTGAAAAAAAACAACGAACATAGGGTTCACATATGGGTCAAAAATAAAAAAAAATTGTAAAAAAAAATTACAAAAAAAGAGAAAAAAGAAAATACACAGGGTGAAAAAAATAATCAAAAATTATTTATTAAAATAAAGAAAGAAAAATGGTTAATCAAACAAAATGTTGTTTTGTTTTTTTCAGTAGGAACCAGCTATTTATATATCTATACTAGCTTTATTTCTCTTAGTGCCATATCTGGGGCATTAGCCACAATTGCGAGCATCAATGTGCCCCAATGGCTCTGTTCTTACCTTGATCTGATTATGAATTCGGAAGTGAAAGGTCTCGTCCCACACAGGATTTTTTGAGTTCCAAATGGTTTTTGTTCTTTTCTTTTCCTGCAAAGTAGTGGGAATCCACAGACACACATAGCAATCCGGTTTGGTGGCTGTGGACAGACAGAGGGGCGTAAAGCTGATAGTCCACTCCAATATTAATATTAGCTACATTTTGCTATATTTATCTTTTATATAAGAAGGAGCCTATATTAAAGTAATTTACTCCTGCACTGGATCATAATAAAAAAGAGAAGCAATTATAACAAAGATTTGCGCTCAATAAGCTTAGCAAAGTGTTTATCATACCAGTCATTTAGGATCACGACTGATTTCGGCCCCCATTTCTATTTATAAAGAATTATTAATATAATAATTTTATTTTATATAATATATGGATATAGAGGAGAAGATTTTGTTAGGGGCCAATCCCCATATAGCAGTTGCACAGAATACTAGGATTTTTTTCTTTCACCCCCCCCCCATTCATGAGCGAGGTACTCCAGCCAGTATTTGTACTTTGGGGTAACTTTCTGTATTACAGTTTATTACTCACCAACATCTGTCCCGTGAATATTTTTGGCTTGTACAATCCGTATGGATAGCTCATAATTAGAAGCTTCTTCCTATTGATCAGTAAACACCAAAGCATTAGCAATGTACTGCCTTTTAATAAGAAAACAAAATCGCTAATTCATTTAATAACTATTAATTTAATAAATTAAATTATCTTCCAGTCTCCTGGTGCTGGCTTAAGTTTAAGAGTCAAACCATTTTTAAACCTTGGTCCCCCAGCTGCCAGCAGTAAGCCAACGCTCCCGATATTGCTAATACATAGATTCCTACTTCTGCATTAGTGACATCAAATCCACTGATGTTTGGATGGAATTTACCGAACGAGAGTGTTAAATGACACTCTGCACCATTCCATCAAAATAAGGACAAATATATGTGTTGAGAAAGGGGAACCTCCACTTTAGACCTATCTGAGAAATTGGGCCGAACCATGGTCAAAAATAGTTTAGCTATTTAACGTGGGATGTATTCAGGTACCTTAACTACTACAGCTCCCTGTCGTGGTTATTGTGCCTAGACTGATTCCTTTAACCCCTTAAGGACACATGCCATGTGTGACATGTCATGATTCCCTTTTATTCCAGAAGTTTGGTCCTTAAGGGGTTAAAGGACCACTAAAGTCACCCTGATCACTTCAAATCATACTGGGTGCGGTGGTCCTATATATTCATCCCTTTGATATAAAGGCCAATTCTTTCCCTGAAGGTTTAAACATGCCTGTATGGCTGTCGTAGTGATAGTCTCTGGAGACACTTTTGCTGCACTGACACTGCAGCTCATAGGAAAGCACTGGATTTAAAAAATTTCTATGATCCGCATTGGATGCACGTGACATTCACCATGCATGCGCATCAGGTCTCCAATGCTGTCACGACGGAGAAAGCCATGCTTCATCGATGAAGTTCTGGGAGGGGGAGAGGTGAGAAGCAAGATAGTTAAAGGGACACTACAGCAATAGGCATACAGGTTTTTGTATTCATAATGTTATAGTGTTCCTTTAAGGGGAGCTTTTCACTTCACACCCCTGTAACAAAAATTAAAATAGGCAAATTCCTTTCTATCATTACATTCTAAGGAAGACACAGTTACAATGCAAGAGGTCAATGGCCAGACGTGGGCATGAGATTGTCAACAGAAATAAATTTGATGGTTCTGGTATAAAACCTATTGAAGGAAATGAAACTGAAGACTAAATTTGACTATTTTGCTCTAATGGGTATTGAGTCACTTCCTTTGTTGATGGTGAAATCTTGTTTAGTATTCTGACTTTCGGCTTTGATTAGTGTTGAAACATTGTGGTTTCTAGATCCCGTGTTTGAAGAAGTGCCTGTGTTTCAGTGATGTAGCAAGAGCTTAATTATCTCTGCTTGGAAACACCCAAAAGCCCATCCTCTCCTAAATACTGTTTTTAAATTACGCTGAGTGTACTCGGAGAGCACAAAAGCATTTACAGAGCTATTCACTAAGGTGAGAAGTCAAACATAACTCAAGATGGATTTCAGTTTTAAGGTCAGAGTAGCTGAATGGAAAGCGAATCTAATTTAGAGAATTTTTCCAGTTCAGCTATTTTAAACTTAAATTTGAAATTCACTTTAAATTCACCTTTAATTCTCACTTTAGTAAATAACTGTCAGGATCGTGACAGGGATCCAACACGCAGAATACAAACAGGAGATAGGTACGTATACCGGACCTTAGAATGGCCGGACTAACGTAAGGAGAAAGCAAAAGAATGGTCAGAGACAAGCCGAGGTCGAGGGAACGAGAGATCAGGTAAGCGAGAGACAAGCCGAGTCAAAAGGACAAGAGAGGAAAGCAGGGTCAAAAATACAAGCCGAGTCAGGAACCAAAAGACAATAGAGGTAAGTGCACTGAGTGACCAGACTAGCTAGAACCACGACAGGGCAATGAATCATTCCACAGAACCCTTTTTTATACCTTGGCTCTTTAACTGTTGGCTCCGCCCCCAACGAGTCCTGATTCGTTGTTCGGCACTTGGTTGCCGTGATTGACGGGTCGGAACGTGATTGCCGTCATGACGTCGGCTACTGAGCGCCGCGTCATAAAAGGAGGCGGAGCTATCGCGGCCGGCGTGTAAACGGCCGGGAGGAGTGCAAGGATCGGGTGAGTCAGCCCCCCTAGGAGGATGGACGTCTAGGTGTCTAACCTCCTCCGAGGTAGACACCAAAGGTAACCTGACAGTACCCCCCCTCTCAGAAACGCCCACCGGGCGGAAGGAACCGGGGCGAGACGGAAAACGAGCATGAAATGCCCGGAGGAGACGAGGGGCATGCACATTTTCATGGCCCACCCAAGACCTTTCTTCAGGCCCATACCCCTTCCAGTCAACAAGATATTGCAACTTCCCCCGAGAAATACGAGAATCGAGAATGGATTTGATTTCATATTCCTCCTGACCCTCAACCTGGACAGAGAGAGGGGAGGACTCAGCGGAGGAAAATCTGTTACAAACCAAAGGCTTCAACAAAGAAACATGAAAAGAGTTAGGGATGCGCAGGGCAGGCGGAAGGGCAAGACGATACGCAACCGGGTTAATCCGACACAGAACCTTGTAAGGGCCTATGTAACGAGGGGCAAATTTCATGGAAGGAACCTTCAAGCGGATGTTTCTGGTACTCAACCACACCCTATCACCCGGGGCAAAAACCGGAGCCACCCGTCTCCGTTTGTCAGCGTGTCGTTTGAACACCATGGAATTCTGAAGAAGAATTCGTCGAGTCTGATCCCACAACTTTCTCAGATTGGCGACATGAACATCAACCGACGGAACCCCTTGGGAAGGGGAAACCGACGGAAGAATGGAAGGATGAAAGCCATAATTCAAGAAAAAGGGGCTAGAACGAGTAGAATCACAAACGAGATTGTTGTGTGCAAACTCTGCCCAAGGAATCAGACCAACCCAATCGTCCTGGTGTTCAGAAACAAAACAACGCAAATATTGTTCAATCTTTTGGTTGGTGCGTTCGGCAGCTCCGTTGGACTGGGGATGATAGGCAGATGAGAAATTCAACTTGATGCCTAAGTGAGAACAGAAAGACTTCCAAAAGCGGGAAACAAATTGGGAACCTCTATCAGAAACAATTTCAGAGGGAATACCATGTAAACGAAAAATCTCCCTCGCGAATATCTCAGCTAATTCGGGAGACGAGGGCAGTTTAGGCAAGGGCACGAAATGAGCCATTTTAGTAAACCTGTCAATCACCGTGAGAATAACAGTATGTTTTTTAGAAACAGGCAAATCGACAATGAAGTCCATAGCCAAACATGACCATGGTCTCTCGGGAATTTCTAAGGGGTGCAAAAGTCCACAAGGGAGCGCATGAGGTTGCTTAGTCTTCATACAGACAGCACATGCCCCGACGAAATCCCTTATATCCTTACGAAGGGAAGGCCACCAGAAATCTTTAGAAATCAGGGAACACGTTTTGCGTATGCCGGGGTGCCCAGCAATTTTACTGTCATGAAAGCAATGCAGCAGTTCCACTTGGAGCTCAGGAGGAACGAAGTATCGAGCCCCAGGAACAGGTTTGGGAGCTAGATGTTGTACTTTCTTGATCTCAGCAAGCAACGGCGAGTGTATCCTGACACACGTGTTGGCAATAATATTACACTTGGGAACGATAGAAGACAAAGCTGCTTCAGACACCGTAGAAGGTTCATGTTGGCGGGACAATGCATCTGCCTTAGAGTTCTTAGAACCAGGTCTATAAGTGAGCACGTAATTGAAATGTGTCAGAAACAAGGACCAACGAGCTTGCCTGGCGGACAAGCGCTTGGCCTCCCCTATATAGGACAAATTCTTGTGATCCGTCAAAATAGTAACCGGGTATAATGTCCCCTCCAACAAATGTCTCCATTCCTTTAAAGCCATAATGACCGCTAACAGTTCCCTATCACCAATGTCATATCTACTTTCAGGCCCAGATAATTTCTTGGAAAAAACCCACATGGATGTAACGGTTTATCCAAACCTAGCCTTTGGGACAAGATAGCGCCTATACCTGTCTCCGAGGCGTCTACCTCGAGTAGAAAAGGCAAAGATGTGTCAGGATGAACTAATATCGGTGCTGAGGCAAAATGTTCTTTGAGTGTTTTGAAAGCAGAGAGAGCCTCTGTAGACCAAGTCTTGGTATCAGCACCCTGTCTAGTCATATTGGTAATAGGAGCAATAATAGAAGAGTAACCTTTAATGAAGCGCCTATAATAATTGGAGAATCCGATAAATCTCTGAATGGCCTTGAGTCCCCTGGGCAATGGCCAATCTAAAATCGATTGGAGTTTAATGGGGTCCATCCTAAATCCGTCTCCAGAAATAACGTAGCCAAGAAAGTTTATCTGAGATTGATCGAAGCTACACTTTTCCAATTTGCAGTACAATCCATGTTGTAACAGTTTGCGCAGTACCCTTCTGACTTGTCTGTGGTGAGTCTCAATCTCTCTAGAGTGTATTAGTATATCATCCAAATATACTATAACGCATTCATGCTGAAATTCCCTAAGAACCTCATTAATTAGGTCCTGGAATACTGCAGGTGCATTGCAAAGCCCGAAGGGCATTACCGTGTATTCATAGTGGCCATAGCGGGTATTGAAAGCTGTTTTCCATTCGTCTCCCTGCTGAATTCTCACCAAGTTATAAGCTCCCCTCAGATCTAACTTGGTAAAAATCTTGGAGCCTTTCAGTCGATCAAAGAGCTCAGTAATCAAAGGAATAGGATAAGCATTTCTAATAGTTATCTTATTCAAGCCCCGATAATCAATGCAAGGCCGTAGAGTGCCGTCTTTTTTATCTACAAAAAAGAAACCGGCCCCGGCCGGAGAAGAAGATCTCCTAATAAATCCTTTGTCTAGGTTTTCACGTATGTACTCCTCTAGGACTAAGTTTTCCTTAGTGGATAAAGGATATACCGTACCCCTCGGAGGCATAGTACCAGGTAGGAGTCTAATTTTACAGTCGAAAGACCTATGTGGAGGTAAAGTATCAGCCCTCTTTTTGTCAAAGACTGCCTTTAAATCCAGGTACTGAGACGGTATCTGTAAATCTGTAGATTGGGAAGAGTTAACCGGGGCGTCAACCATGCAAATCGGTGAGACTTTCTGTAAACATCCTCTCTGGCAACCCTGACCCCAGGAGACTATCTCACCCAGTTCCCAGTCAATGATAGGGTTATGCTTCTTAAGCCAGGGATACCCCAAGACTATAGGAACTGAAGGAGATGAGATCAGCATGAGGGATATTCTTTCCTCGTGAAGGATACCAGTGGTTAACTTAATTGGTATGGTTTCACGAAAAATAACAGGTTCAGATAATGGTCTGCCATCTATGGCCTCAACGGCCAAGGGTGTATCCCTTAGCTGAGATGGGATAGAATGGTTAGTGACAAAGGCTTGGTCAATAAAGCTTTCAGCTGCTCCGGAATCTATCAAAGCCATAGCATTAAGTACTCCCTTTTCCCAAGCTAAAGAAACAGGTATCAGAAGCCTATGATCTTTATAATCATATATAGAGGACAAGATAGAAACACCCAAGGCCTGTCCTCTTGAGAAACTTAGGTGCGAGCGTTTCCCGGCCGGTTAGGGCAATTTAGGCGTAGGTGACCTCTAATTCCGCAATACATACAAAGCCCCTCCCTTCTCCTGTACTGTCTTTCCTCTTCTGAGAGTCGAGTATTACCTATTTGCATAGGTTCTGGGAGAGCTAAAGTAGTAGAATCAGAACTCTGAAATGAGGGAGCTAGTCTTATGGAGGATCTGCGGGTTCTATCCCGAATATTCTGCCTCTGTCTCATACGTTCATCTATTCGGGAAATAAATGAAATCAAATCCTCCAAATTTTCAGGAAGATCTCTTGTGGCCACCTCATCTAAAATCTCATCAGATAACCCGTTCATAAATACGTCCATATAAGCCTGTTCATTCCACTTGACTTCTGCCGCCAAGGATCTGAACTCTAAAGCATAATCCACGAGGGTTCGGTTATACTGTCTAAGACGTAACAGTAGTCTAGCTGCATTGGCCTTTCTTCCTGGGGGGTCAAAAGCTCTCCTAAATGCAGCGACAAAAGCATTATAATTGTAAACTAACGGGTTATCATTTTCCCACAGGGGGTTAGCCCATCTAAGTGCCTTGTCAATGAGCAAGGTGATTATAAATCCAACCTTCGCCCTGTCAGTAGGGTAGGCGTGGGGTTGCAACTCAAAATGAATACCTATCTGGTTTAAAAAACCTCGACAAGTGTCAGGAGCGCCGCCATAGCGTGACGGGGACGTAACACGGGAAGAAGTAGCCACTGTGGCTACCTCTAGGCCTGTACTTATAGGAGAGATAGATGGGGTACGCATCTCCTCTGAGTGATTACTAGGACGAGATAGCAATGCTTGCAGAGCTAGAGCCATCTGGTCCATTCTATGATCCATGGCCTCAAATCTAGAGTCAGGAGAACCGACCTGAGAGTTTGTACCTGCAGGATCCATTGGCCCTGTCAGGATCGTGACAGGGATCCAACACGCAGAATACAAACAGGAGATAGGTACGTATACCGGACCTTAGAATGGCCGGACTAACGTAAGGAGAAAGCAAAAGAATGGTCAGAGACAAGCCGAGGTCGAGGGAACGAGAGATCAGGTAAGCGAGAGACAAGCCGAGTCAAAAGGACAAGAGAGGAAAGCAGGGTCAAAAATACAAGCCGAGTCAGGAACCAAAAGACAATAGAGGTAAGTGCACTGAGTGACCAGACTAGCTAGAACCACGACAGGGCAATGAATCATTCCACAGAACCCTTTTTTATACCTTGGCTCTTTAACTGTTGGCTCCGCCCCCAACGAGTCCTGATTCGTTGTTCGGCACTTGGTTGCCGTGATTGACGGGTCGGAACGTGATTGCCGTCATGACGTCGGCTACTGAGCGCCGCGTCATAAAAGGAGGCGGAGCTATCGCGGCCGGCGTGTAAACGGCCGGGAGGAGTGCAAGGATCGGGTGAGTCAGCCCCCCTAGGAGGATGGACGTCTAGGTGTCTAACCTCCTCCGAGGTAGACACCAAAGGTAACCTGACAATAACACTGTTACTGTTTCTTTAATTCAAGTAGGCCATCCCTCGTAAAGCTTCAGATTGGTTGACACTTACCTGGGTCCCCTGGGTGCCTCCAGCCCGCCCTCCTCCTCTGATATATCCAGAGTGGACGTTCCTCTTCTGCATTAGATGTACCTATTTTGTCTATCTTGGGACAAAAGTTATTGCCTCTGAGCACCAGCGGACACTGTCAGCCCAAGAATTCCATCCAAGATGTGAAGAACATAAAGCATTATGTAATCCTCTTCCCTTCAAGGTCACTGGAGTTCTGTTTAGTTATCTGGTGCCTTCTATTACCATAGTAATGGAATGGTGTTGGGTTCATCAAGCACCATTTTCTCAAATAAGGTAGACTGCGCCAGCACCGTCTTGCCATGTGTTGGCAGATCAGGCCGCTGGTATCGTGGTACCCTGTTCTTCCTGCTGTCTTAAACTGTTTGGACCTCTTGATCATTATTACCTTGAGAGTATCGACTGTCACACTGTAGGAGTTTGGCTCAAGCACGGCTCAAATATTTAACTCGCCACCAGCCATTGCAATTTAGCAGGATGAAAGCGGATTATCGAGTCCGCCATTAAAGTATAGGCAGCACAAATTTAAAAAATACATATAAACAGCATGGTGTTATTTTAGAGGGGAGCTGATGCTGTGAGGTGTCAGTCAGACCCCACACGGGAAACGCCAAGTCAGCTCAGCATCACCCTCCAAGTTAAATAAAACGGCAGTAACTTAATTTCATTATTTTACAAATACATAGGCTGGAAATCAAGGGGCGACCATTACACAGGGAAACCGGGACCACTGTCTTATGCCTGATCATGGTGGTAATATGGATCTACTAATAGATCAATTACACAGATTACACTATTGCGGTTAGGTTTCTCATTCTTTGACATAGGTGTCACGGCTCCAGCGTCCTCTGGCCATAGACTCACACATATTGAGTGTGCGTCACTCTTGCATAATGTTTTATGTGGACGTTGCGCTTTGTACAGATTCCGAGCACAATATGGTGTCAATAGTGGCGCCGAATGATCTCCTGCATCTTCTTCTCATATGCATAAAAATCATTTTTTGACGCCAAACCAATATGCGTCCAATGTAACGACGCAGGTTGCATTTATAATGCACAAAATGCAGTCTACTTCACCATTACATACATTTTATATTAAATGATTATTCTATGGCTAAGACTAGCATTAGGGGTTAGTGTTTGGGTTGTTTTTATCCTAGGGCAGCATTTAGTCATAGTTGCTGCGAAATATGTTTTCGCTATCTAAAAAATAAATAATAATAATAATAGTCACAGTTTTCCAGTCTGACTGAAGTTAGTGGTGAAAAAGTGCTATTCAGCAAAAAGCTAGTCTACAAAGCAACGAAATCTGAAAAACAAATAAACCCTTAATATTCACCTCTAAATGTAATGACATCTGCTGATCATTAATGTGAAGCTCTTATGTTATTTATGAAATTAAATTCTGTTTAAAGAGTCATTTTCCCCCCAATCTCGTGTCCTGCTATAATGTAACCATGTGTATCAAAATAAACATTTAACAAAACAACCCAATCTTTCGGTATTATCAAAATAAACATAAAAGTCTGTGCTTTGTGAGTCGTTATCTTAATTAAGTGAATCATCTTTTAAACTTTATTAATCATTAACACGTTGTTAACACTGCATCTGTCAGGCCTACAACAGCTAATTATCAGACGTTATTACCCACAGTAATTAGATGAGTAATCTGGGTCTCTTGCCATTTAGTACTTTTGTTTTCATAAAAAATACACATGGTACGTGGTTCCATAAAATGAATTTATAGGTATGAGCTATTTGTTTATTTCACAATGTATAGATCTGGATGACATTAAAAGTTACAACTCATGGTTTGTAGACCTGTAATACGAGTACGTAGAAGATGTTGAGTAAAGAAATTAGAAACCATCATGCAACTCAAACCATGAATTGAAAAACAGAACCAGGTAACGGAGCTGCTAAGTAATGATGTTAATATATCAAGGTACACGGTCAGGTGATAAAACTACAACACCCCCTCCCACTCATGACTTGAGATATTACTATGTAATCCCTGCAATGTGGATATTGTCATAGCATGTGTCTACTGTAGATCCTCTAATTTCATTTATTTTTTCTCGTTAATATTGTTTTATGTACTCAAAACCCTAATAAAATCCGACAAACTACAAAACACACCTGTAGCAAAGCAGACAAACAGAGTATGCAGAAATAGTAAACAAGCCTAAGTCGGGACACCAGAAATACAAAGGTCATAATACAATGAATCCAGTCATTGAATATGACTCCACCGGATCGATTAGTACGGGTGCAGATTAAAAGGCACTTGATATGTCCGCACCAGCTGAAACGGATGTGTACACGTTTACTGCCAAGCTCATAAACCCTAGGACCATCAGTCATTACAAGCAGATCCAGTTATAGCAGCAAGTGAGATTTCTGGCGCTTGTTCCTTATGTGTGAAGCAGCTAAAATTACAAGCAGATCCAGTAACAATACAATGACTATAACTGGTTATGAAAATACAGGAAGACGCGCAAATATGGGTTACACCAAATAACCATTGATAACTATATTAAAATCACCATACTATTAATGAGACGAAATAATAGCAGCAGACACTGCAATGCCTCCTTTATCCATATGTTATATTATGTAACTACATAACGTCCTGTAACAAAGCCAGACATTCCATCTTCTGCTGACTGCATACAATTCTGTCAGCCTACTGAACCTCTCGCTCACCTCGCATGCTCCTTCCTGCCTCCCAGTGAGCAAGGCGACACTAACACTACTGTAACAAGCTCTCCCCAGCTCCGAGCAAGAGCCCGTGCTGTGAGTGTATGCATGTTAGGTCAGTACATCAGTCAAACGCTGTCTATTTAGCAGATATTGTCATTTACATACAGCCAACACAGCAAGTGTGTTACAATTTTAGATGGAGGTATCTGGCAAGTAATTAATATACAAAAAAAATAACAAAGACAAACAGGTGAAGTTGGTGAAACAAAGCAGGTATAGTGTATAGATCATGTCCCTGCAGTCTCATCGCTCAATTCACTGCCATTTAGGAGTTAATTCACTTTCGTTTCTGTTTATTCAAACCTAACCACACCACCTCTGGCTGTCACTCACACAATCTGCATGAAAAAAAAAAGGTTTCCTTTTCAATCAGATGTTAACTTGCATTGGAAGTTTTTATCTTGAGGGTACCTGCATTACACATTTCCACTGAAAGTACGTCTTGTACCCATGTATTATATATGGTACATACTATAGAAATATAAAACATACTTAGAATGTTTTCTCCATCAAAGTAAGAATTCTACATTGGGGTTTAATTTCTGTATTGTATTACGTCATGCTTTGTACCGTCTGCTCTGCTTTCCCTTAGATGTGAGTATGCCATATTATGTATAATGCTGGATGTGTGGCTGGAGCCATTGGCAAAATATGGGCAAATGCTGTTTTTGAGGATGTTTTTTGTTTGTTTGTTTTTTTATTTTTTTCTCAACAGAAGCCAGATGATTAACAATGTTAGATTTTGAAAATGGCATATTTGATCAAATTATTATTATTATTATTATTGGCATTTGTAAAGCAATAACTTGTTCCCTAACTCTTTACAATATTATAAAAGGGTGAAATTTAACAATAAATGAGACAATAACAAAATATTACAGGAACAACAGGATGATGAGGACCCTGCTCAGACCAGCTTACAGTCTAGACGAGGTGGGGTATGAAAACCACTATTGAGCCTCAAGGGGGACAGCAAATAACAAGGTGCGAGGGAGATCCCCAAAATGCTTAACACTTGGTGATTTGCGAATCACCTGAAATCCTGTCATTACAAAAATGTGTTAGTTTAATAAACAATATGCTACAACATCCAGTTATGCTGTTATTTTGTATTTAGATCAATACTGCTTCTTGTTAACCATCCGGTAGTTATATGTCAAGCTATTTCAGTCTTCCTTTAAACAGAAACTCTGTCGCCTACCTTATACCATGACAGATGTGATGCCCCGTACATCCTGAAGAAGGTCACATCCAATTTCAGTTGAGGCTGGAGATATGATCAGTAATGAGTCGTTGTGTTAGGTCTGTACTCTCTTTCTGTTGTGCTGTCAATCGAGAGTAAAGTACCACAATGAGTATTGTACATCAGAGCGATTTCATGTGTCCCTCCCATTATTTGTTGGATTTTTTACATCCTCGTGTCAAAAAGATGAGTCTTACAATGAAAACACATCCATACCAAACCCATGAGTTATCAAAAGGCAGAACACATAAATCTGCTTCAGGTAACTTGTAATATGCAAGGTTGGGGTGGTGGCTGGGTGTTTAGAGTGACACCCAAGAGAGGTTAAATCCATTGTGGGATTTAATGCACTTCAAAACTCACTAGGTAACTTTTACAGGAAGGCTTTAACTTGGGATATTTTTACACCTGCTTTCAGGTGCTTGTTATCTCTTGGGAGATAGACGAGAAAGAAGGGTAGTTGACAGGAGATGGTGAGACACAAAACTGGAAACAATGAGATGACCAAAAAAAACTGCATTCACAACTACAATAACTTGAGGAAAGAATGGGGGTAAAAATTACCTCCTGTTTTTAATACACTGTTGAGATAATGCTTTAAACATAATACAAAAAAAGAATTAAAACATATGTATTTTTTTTAGTTAGATCACTTTCACCAGAGTGAGTGTTGTACGTGGAATAGCTACAGTGCTTAGAGCAGGGGTCCTCAAACTCTGGCCCCCCAAATGTTGCTGAACTACAACTCCCATGATTCTTTGAATTACATAGATAGTCAGAGAATCATGGGAGTTGTAGTTCAGCAACATCTGACGGGCCGGAGTTTGAGGACCCCTGGCTTAGAGTGACTCTTTAAACATATCATATGGTCACACACATACACCCCACGCAAATACATCCCTGCATTCACAGACTGGTAATTTATATGACAATTCCACAACATTGACATTCTGCACAATGATACCCCAGCATTCACAGACTGCTAATTTATATGACAATTCCACAACATTGACATTCTGCACAATGGATACCCCAGCATTCACAGGCTGCTAATTTATATAACAATTCTACAACATTGACATTCTGCACAATGATACCCCAGCATTCACCGACTGCTAATTTATATAACAATTCCACAACATTGACATTCTGCACAATGGTACCCCAGCATTCACAGACTGCTAATTTATATAACAATTCCACAACATTGACATTCTGCACAATGGTACCCCAGCATTCACAGACTGCTAATTTATATAACAATTCCACAACATTGACATTCTGCACCATGATACCCCAGCATTCACAGACTGCTAATTTATATAACAATTCCACAACATTGACATTCTGCACAATGATACCCCAGCATTCACCGACTGCTAATTTATATAACAATTCCACAACATTGACATTCTGCACAATGATACCCCAGCATTCACAGACTGCTAATTTATATAACAATTCCACAACATTGACATTCTGCACAATGATACTCCCAGCATTCACCGACTGCTAATTTATATAACAATTCCACAACATTGACATTCTGCACAATGATACCCCAGCATTCACAGACTGCTAATTTATATAACAATTCCACAACATTGACATTCTGCACAATGATACCCCAGCATTCACCGACTGCTAATTTATATAACAATTCCACAACATTGACATTCTGCACAATGATACCCCAGCATTCACAGACTGCTAATTTATATAACAATTCCACAACATTGACATTCTGCACAATGATACCCCAGCATTCACCGACTGCTAATTTATATAACAATTCCACAACATTGACATTCTGCACAATGGTACCCCAGCATTCACAGACTGCTAATTTATATAACAATTCCACAACATTGACATTCTGCACAATGATACCCCAGCATTCACAGACTGCTAATTTATATAACAATTCCACAACATTGACATTCTGCACCATGATACCCCAGCATTCACCGACTGCTAATTTATATAACAATTCCACAACATTGACATTCTGCACAATGATACCCCAGCATTCACCGACTGCTAATTTATATAACAATTCCACAACATTGACATTCTGCACAATGATACCCCAGCATTCACAGACTGCTAATTTATATAACAATTCCACAACATTGACATTCTGCACCATGATACCCCAGCATTCACAGATTGCTTATTTATATAACAATTCCACAACATTGACATTCTGCACAATGATACCCCAGCATTCACAGACTGCTAATTTATATAACAATTCCACAACATTGACATTCTGCACAATGATACCCCAGCATTCACAGACTGCTAATTTATATAACAATTCCACAACATTGACATTCTGCACAATGATACCCCAGCATTCACAGACTGCTAATTTATATAACAATTCCACAACATTAACATTCTGCAGAATGATACCCCAGCATTCACACGCTGACACTACACATAAAACATTACATTGACCCCTTAAGGACACATGACATGTGTGACATGTCATGATTCCCTTTTATTCCAGAAGTTTGGTCCTTAAGGGGTTAATACACAGATACTAAATAATAATAAACCCCCCATTTCCGCATACTGGCAGAACACACATAGTTTTGCATTGTTTACAGTCCCCCCACATACCTCCAAAGTGGCACTTTTTAGGAAGGGCAGTTGCTATTTTGGGCCCAAATTCACCTGTCTCACAATTCAATCCTAATGTCCATCCTCTTTTCTATGAACTCTTTATTGTTGGTGTGGTTATAACTGTCAAGGTACAACCTTAACACGAAAACAAGCGGCAACCGATACTCTATTAATATAGCGCGTATCACCAGGCCTCAGAGTGGCCGTGCTTAATGTAAGAAGCAAAAAATATAGTCTGGAGAGATAATAAGGGTAACAATAAACAGGCCAGGGTCAAGAGAAGGTAGAAAAAAACAAATACACAAAGCCAAGATCAGGGATTCCAGAGATAAGATTAGTCAAAATATAGAGCCAAATCACAGCCAGAAAAAACACACTTAACACTACAACGCACTCTTTGGCTACTAAGAGCATGACCGGGCAAGGAAGTGAGGTCAGAGATGGGCGTAAATAGCCTCACATATGCAGTGATTGGTTGGGGAACAATACAGAAAAATTGTACTTAATTTGTGTTAGGCGTTTTGCCCACGTTTGTTTAGCTTTTCTGTGGCTTTAATTAGAGTGGAATCAAAACGGTTTGTGCCGTCACCGATGTCGGTGCACTCATGCATTCGATGTCGGCGGAATAAAGAAAGAGTCGTGTCAAGATTCAGCATCGGCCGAACAAGGTGGGACAGCGAGTGGAGATTCGGCATCGCCTGATTGAGGAGTGGCAAGGCGACTACGTGGGACAGCTGAAGGTAAGACAATAACAGAGCTCCCCAGCATTAAAACGCATAGTAATGCATCTTTAGACTATTTTAAATGTGTTCAGAAATCAGTCTGTGTAAATAAGATACATTGCTCTTGTTCTAAATAATATTTCAGTTGCATAAAATGTTTTAGTTATGTTTCAGAGCAGCCCCGTCTCTGGCCTCACCCCTAAAATTAAAGTGTCTCTTTTTGTCCGTGGATTTTGAAGGGTATGCCCCTGTGGATGTGCAATGGCTGAATCAGATGAAAAGACTCCGTCCCTGGCTGAACTTGACTAAGAATGGCTGCTCTCCTGGCTGAACTTGGCTAAGAATGACTGCCTCTGTCTCACGCCTTCCATCCCTTTCTGGTTTGTTCACTCAGCATATTTCCTTCTTTGACGCCGTCTTGAATCTGGTCCAATACAATACATTTTTATCATATGAGAATTTACTGTAATACAATCCAAAGGCAACAAAAAGAAAAACAATTAAGCCGATTATAAATGTGGTTGATAAACCAGTTTTCTCAGAGATAATTATAAAACTGGGTAGATGAAGGGAGTGGTAAGGAAGTCTATAAAAAAATAAACCTCAGAATAATCTCCCTGTAGATTGTATTAAACATTAGGAAAATGTAAAATAAAATAAAAGTGAATAAATTATTCTGAGTTTTAAAAAAACAAAGGGAATTTATTCTTCTATCCCTCGTTATTCTCACCATGATTATAACCCTATTTTATATTAATCAAGAAAAAATTTGTTTTTTAATTGTCAGTGTAATTAAAAATATATGAGTTATATATGTGATAAGGCAGCTTATTTTTTCTCCCACATATTAAACGTGCCTAGCCTAAAAAAAAAACATATAGAAAAATATACAATTCACAAAAGATTACAAAGATTATATCATGAAACTTTTGCTATTAAACGCTTGTTTCACTTGTGAGTGCTAGGACAAAGGGCCACGTTGTGGCGGATAGTGAGAATGTGGAGTGCAGTGGTTAGTGGCAATAGACATTAGTAAAGGGTTTCGTTTTATTTGTGTGACTTGTGCATTTTCATTACGTACCATATATTACAGACACTTTTTATTCATTAAACTGCAACGTTTTTTAAAATCACCACCGGTCACTATCTTGATGTCAAAAGGAAAAGACAAGTTAACAAAATACTCTCAATACATCCTATGTCTAAACAATGTTTATTCTTTATTTAAATACATTTGTGCACTATCTTTTAGCATGGTGTATGTAAATGTAAAATTTAGCAAGAGGCTCACTCACTAAGCAGTGAATTGATAAACTAATTATGCATGATTTGAGCAAACCTTTTATATAGTGCCCAGCTAGAGGTGCTATAAACGTTTAAAACATGCCAGGCCTTGGTTTCCATTCAATTTGTAGAACAGTGTATGCTAACTAGATGTCGGTATCCATAGAGGTGGCCGTGAGTTCATGGAAAACATTAAATATAGGAGTCACATGTCAGCATGTTTTAGCAGCAAACATTTACCGGCTTTTGGATTCAGCAAATTATAAATTGCTGCTTTTTAAGGACAAGCGTTGATACAAACACATTATCTACATTTTGCATATTAATGGTTACAACTTAAAAGTAGAGTCAGCACTGAAACAGAGTGAAAATATTTAAAGTCCAATTTGTGCGCACTAGTTATTAAAATAAAAAGACTTCTCAAAAGTAATAGAAAGAAGACGACAAACATGCCTGTGGTTTTTTGGATGTCATCACTTGGCTTTCAGGCATCTAGGTCACTGGTTGCTTCTAGACTCACTGTTGACCAGTGTCTATCTTTATGAGCTTGTCTCCATTCTAAACATTCCTTGGACCATATTGTGATATGTATTTGTTATAATACATTTTTATTTTAACATTGTTGTAATGATTTATTTTGTTTTCTTTTACCAGTTTGGGCTTGCGTGGTGCCACACACAAAAGGACACCAACATGCTGTGAATGTAATACTTTTCCTTCATATTCATCTACCTGAGTGAGTTATGAAGATTCAAATGTTGATGTAAATACTCCTTGGAGACAGGTCTAAAGCTCTGGGATAGATGTTTGATCCCTGTACTGAACATGGACACCTAAATATTCCATTACAATATTTGAGGCATCTCCTCAACTTCTCGTCTGATGTGGTCATAAAGTGGAGAATAAAAATAGAAGCATTGCGATGCCGCATTCAGCATTAATTTATCTTTACATCATACTGCGCACAGTGTGTCTTTAACCCCTTAAGGACCAAACTTATGGAATAAAAGGGAATCATGACATGTCACACGTCATGTGTCCTTAAGATGTTAAATTAAACTTACTCAGAAAAGAGTCTTTTTCTTCAATATTTGTATTTCTTATCTGAGTAATCAGAGAATATGCCACTCAAGTATAGCAGAGATTCATGTGTTCTGGTTGTACACGTCATTGTAAATTTTGGTCTTAATTCTCAGTTGTATAGTAAAACAGTTTAACATAAGGGATACATCAAAGAATAAATTTATGGTGCACTCCAGTTGTTGCCAGGAATCTTGCTTTTTATCACTGAAGGCTGCAAACCGTGATAAAATGACATTACTTGCATCAATAAGGAATAATCTGATGTCATGTATCATTGTAAAGTTTTGAAGTTCTGGACTTCAACTGGTCAAGATACACAGCAGAAACATTGTCCCTCCACGGCAAAAATTGAACTTGCTACATTAAATGAAGTATAGCAACAGAACATTTCTGTTTCTTCACAATTGCTTACAACATCAAAACTATAACATTTTCTTTTTCTTAAAATTGCTGTCCATAGGGTTAAGGTTTGTCACCATATTCTTGTTTTTGACCACAAAAAAATAAAATAGATAAAAAGCTTGTCCTCTTTTACCATGCAGTATCTCTGGAGTGCTCAGTATGTCTCCAGTCATGTTGAAGTCCAGTCTTATTCTTGCCAGAATCACAGAATTACAAATGTTCCTATATTTTTCTGTTAATCCTATATATTCGACATTTCACCATGTGGTCCATTTCATTGTAATCACACAGCAACATGTCTTCATTATTTAGAATATATGTTATTTAAAAATATTGGATTTATTTTGTTATATTGTCCAACATAAAACCAATACATGAGAGCAGAATGTATTAATTGATATTTATTATATAGCATGATCACACACACTTTTTATATATAAATGTCATATACATTTAGTGCCACCCAGTGGTGTATTGTCAGTAATATTTTGTAAGATAAATAATTCTAAAAGTAATTACTGCAAACATAAAAATCCAGTTCAGATAGAGTTATCTTAATTCATTTTGGCTCACATTTTTAGAATGGATCAATGTAAACAACTTTTAATTAATACAGTCTCCTCTCTGAACCTTTAAGTCCAAATTGCCCTTATTTCAAAGCCAGACTAAGACACTTAACATTGAAGGAGCTATTCCCATCTCCATTTTAAACTTCGACCTTATGTTATTCTCCAATACTACTACAGAGAGTATTAAACATCTCCTATCATGACTAACGAGCCAGATTAATTTGGATTTATCTCACGTTGGGAAGCCTCAGACAATGCCACAATGGTATCTACCAAGCCCATATCTATTCTATTCCTCCCATACTCCTTGGTAGGAGGAATTGGCTGTACCAGAATTTTGTCTTTGAGCTTTTGGTCCTAAGCTCACAGGAAGGGTCTTTGTTCTTACTTAAAATAACTAGGGTCAGAGTCAATGGTTAACTTTTCCAAATGATCTTTATTGGTAAAAGAATAAGACGTTGCTTGATTTTCTTTATTATTTGCGCTGGCACTAGAACCCTTGTCTTTGTCACTTTTGGCAAATGAGAACATTCAGGTATTCCATTAAAATATAACCAATTACAAAACCTCAGCACCTGCTGGTCATCTGCTCTCAACATATGACCCCTGTCTTATCACCTGGAAGGAATTGGATATACCATTGCTTCCTTATTCATTTTAGACAAAATTTGGATAAATCAGGAATACAACCCTCACCTCTTCATTCCCCACTCAGTAGATGTTACAAACGCATTATTGTCTTTTTACAACACTACCGTAGAAATCTGAGTGCTATATGATATTCAACATTGTTGAATTTTACAAACTTTTAATCTAAGGGACAGTGGATTCTGTTTATAATATTGTTTATTTCACAAGTAAAAGTATTCCAATAAAGGTGTATATATACGGCTGCTTACAGCATTTACAGAATACTTGTTTTGTTTTCAGTTGCAAGATTGGTGAAATAGTCCCTGACTTGCAGACAGTATATTATTATGTAACGTTCTGTATTCATTTTACTGTTGCAACAAAAGTAAAATAGATGTGTGTGCAGTTGCTCGATAGCGAAGATAAACCCATGTTCTCACATGTACGGTTTAGTTGTGGATTTGGAGGTTGACTCTCAAGTTTGACAGGTCTGAAACTTAGAGAGAGATGGGTGAATGCAGGGGTACTAGGTAGTAAAGGGAACGTATTATCCCAGTGCATACGAGGATGGTACTTATTAAAGTGTACACACAGGTGTTTTTAATTGGCGTGTAAGGAATAAACATCCTTGAAATAGGTGGTGCCACTATTTCCATGATATAAAATGTTTTAATCTTGTTTACTCTGCTATTTCATTTAACAGGTGCAGACCATATAAGCTCTAGTAAAAGGCCATATAATAGGAGCCCAGTGTCGGTTATATTATGACTTAATTACATGATATCACAGCCCTGGTCTGAAAAGCTTAAAAGCTTTCCTAAGAGGAGCAGAGTGATGCTTAGAATGGGGTCTGTGAAATTTCAGGTGTATAGAATGCAATGCTATGAACATCAAATAAGTATATCTGAACTAGGATTTTCAGTTCCCTTTAATTAGTTCATTAACAGAACTTCTGTTAACAAGCATACGTTAGTAGAATTAATGGCAAGTTTACACAATCTGCAGCATGCATAAACAATTAAAATATTAAAATGAACAAGCAGCAGGGTCATTGGTATTTGACAGGTCAGGGGATTCAGCTGGGAGGGTGTTTAAATCGGTCCATGGCCTTTATAAAACCCCATTTGTGTCTCCAGCCTGGATCAGCCTCCTCCTAGCAACGCCCCTGATACGCAGCGTCTTAAAACACAAAAATCTTTCATATCAGACTTTACAAACTGCTCATTTTTACAGCCAATTTCTATTTAACAGAACAAAGTATGCTAACTAAGGCCTCGATTTAAGAAGCTTTCCAGATATAAATCAATGAACAGAAGTCATTTTTGTAGATAAATTATTTAGAAAGCGTTCTATAACCGTGTTGAATCTTTTGGAAAGCTTTGAGGCTGTAACTGGCAACAAAACTGATGCAGAATAGTGAAACAGCCACAGCTTCGTGATTTTAAACACTTGTACAGTAACTACTTCTGAAACATTTGTTCTATGCAGTTCATCATTAGGATATAGTAACATAAATAACACCAAAGGCAATAAAAATGGTAGTGTTTGGCCAAAAGAAAACTTTACAATCTTTTCTACAGTAACATAATGGTTTAAATTAGCGATTCAATCAAATAGATGGTGATACACCTCGGTAATTAGCTTATCCAATAAAAATGACATTTTAAAAAGTGAGCATTTCTTTAAAAACAAACACTATATATAGCATTCGCAATTGTGATAACCAAATGCAAGTTTCATCATGAAATGTCAGTCTGGATTCCTGCTGTAAAGCAGCGAGGCATGGTCTCAAGGTTTGTACCAACCTACAATATATGTTTGGACATTTATCTCACCGATGTTTACAGAGGAACTCTAGTGTCAAGGGAAACACAATAAATAAAAATAAAATACAAACAAAACATCACAATATTTTTGTACTGGCATAAAATATTTTTTGTGTGCTGCCATCTTGATCTATACGGATTTTGGCCAAAAAAAAAAAAGTGTCAGAGTTGGAGAATTTTTAAGATCACTATTTGAGGATCAGCAAACGCGGAAACTATACTATAGACCAAGGTACCTGTCAGACGACAATATAAAAGTATTAAAACACTTGGAGCAGCTCATGGACCTCTGCCTCCCAGTGTACCAGCATTGGATAACACAGCTGGGACATTCCATGAGATGGCAAGTACGTACTCTTCACCATACTATTGAGAATGATGGAACCTTAGATGGCTACACCCATCATTCCATTCTCAAAAAGTTCCTAAACATAAAGGTAGAAAGTCCTATGCTATTTTTTCCTTTCTAAATAAACAAGTTGAATAGTTTTTAAAAAGGATTCACACCAAGTCTGTCCAAGACATAATGGAGGAACTATCTCCAATAAGAAAAGGTGACGCATTATCTTGAAATACAATTTCAAGTGTGATGCAAATTACTTTAAAAAAAAATTTAAAAAAAAATAAAAACTGAATTAAAAAGAAGAAAACACAGAAAACAGATTGAGCAGTGGAGAGATGTCAACAAGTTGCAAACGTTAGGGAATTTTACTGACAAAACCAAAAAAACTCGAGGGATTTAAAAAAAAAATTTAAAAAAAAATGACACCTTACATTTGCTTATCAATATACCCCAATTAACGGTTTAGGGAGCAAATGCCAGTAAATGAAAAATACTTCAAATGAAATATTACATATCTAAAACAATAGATATATGGGCATTTGAAATGTTGAATGGAACATATAAATTGTTATGCCTATTGTATAAGAGAAATGTGTTAACATATTCTTCTTTTAGATTGTAAATTTTTAGGCAGGGTAAAACGTTAGCTACTGGGTATTCAACTTTACCTCTTCAAAATGTCACAGTATTTTGTATAATGATGAATAAAGTAAGATAGCACCATGTCTAAAGGGGTAATAATGTGATAAAATGTAATTTAGCCTCTCAATAAATTCACACTAACAACTCAGCTATATGGTATGGATGCAACATGTGGTGCAATTTTGGGCACAGTTTTAATGAAGGAGATTATGGAACTGGAAACAGTGAAAAGTAAATAAATAAATAAAGGGAAATGGACAATTTCATTAAAAAAAAAAAAATTATATATATATATATATATATATATATAAGCTAAAAAGTTGCATTGTTCATATTAAGAAAGATGTAAAGCCAGGGATATGATTACACTGTATAACAAAAAAATAAACAAAGTGACAAGAGAGTCATCCAATTAGATTGGGAAAAAAAGAGATTTAACCAACAGCAGAGGACAGAGTTCTCAGCATCAAATCCTTCTGAACATAGATATTTTTATTTCATAAAATTCAGAAGTCGAAAAGAAAATGGGTATAGAAAAAGTATTAAGGGCTATAATCGCTCTAAGATCTTGAGTTAAGCTGGGTTTGTTTGCTTTCTTTGTATCAATAAACGATACAAACATGTATGAAAAGAAATCTGAGCCTCTTTTTCTGACTATAATATATGGCATCATATGCAAGGCTGTGAAGGCAGAGCCTGCCATGCAATGTACATCTCCTTGCATTGTACGGTATGTAAGTATGTTTAACAGAAATATGGGCCATTACCATTAACGGAAACATGGCCTGCATGCATACACAATATTAGTGCAATGTATCAGAGTCAGTTCCCAGAACTGCTAACAGATACGCATGTTTTACGTAACTTGCTTGCACACTGTGCTTTAGCTAAAATTCCTAATAGCTAGAGAAAAGTGAATTATCATCAACCTGAGTGTTAGTTCCTCTTTAAATAAACAAGTAAACCCTTGCAGGGCACTAGATTCTGATTTAAATGTCAAAACATAATATGTCGTTTCAGGACCATTCTCTTGTAACAGTTAGTGTTTATAATACGTTAACTTACTCTTTCTTCACTGGTAAATATGTCTGCGATCCCCCATTTACTCAGTGAAAGGCACAGCTTATTTCCTATGTTTGTAAAACAACATAACACAACACACGCTTACTTTTCATCAGCCACTCTGACAGGGCATACTGTGAAGGTAAAAGTATCGGCAGAATCGAACGCCTTTGAGAAAGGCTTGACTTGAATTTACATAATAACAAGGATATAAATAAATCTTTACATAATTAAATAGATTTTGTGCCTTTGCTTTCAATACTTACAGAGGTTTGTTTCCCAGCATATACGGCAGTATTTGGAGAAAAAACATTAGTCACATTTTTGCCAACTGTATTGCCTATTCCAAACAGATGTTTAGAAACCTTAATGTGCTTTTGTTCACTTCATGCTGAAAGTAAATATTCAAAAGAGCACGTCATGAAATAAAATATGATCTGGTGCAAACTTGGGAAATAACATTCTACAAGTCCCACTGCTCGAAGAAATATTCGTTTAAAATGCTATTTGTGGTTTTGTTAACTGGAGTACTGACAAACAGCACCATCATACACATCCTCTGGCCACGATGAAGGAGGAATCGTTTTTCAAGAAAAAAATATCTTCTAATACCCTGTCTGAAGGTGGCCTTATACCCCACACAATTAGTGTTAAAATGCAATGTGTGATTCCAACTGAGAAGAAAGTCAATGAAGATTACATGTGGCATTATGGATCCACACGCACATAGCAACAAAGCTAGATTGTTAAATATTACATGGGTAATCCCACATCTTAAAAGATGTCAAATTAAAAAAATATTAAAAACCACACAGCACAAGAATAATTGGGTATGTAAATGAACATGTCCTTGTGGAAAATGCGTGGATGATATCTAACTCACCCCCAATTACTACAGTAGCTTTCCTAGGTACGTGTCTAATGGATCTTACAGGTAATCCAGCCCTGGGATTAATTATTGATATGTAGTGTTCAATTATGTTAGACTGTAATTCAAACAATGTTAATCCTATAAACCTCTCATTGCGGCTCATTAAAACTGCACTGTGAATGACTTTTCAATATTGTGTCACATTCAAAGAATGTCCAGTGACATTTAGACTGCAGTTACATTTTAGACTGCTGAGAACAAATTCGGGTGTTGTCTCTCAATGAGTTTCATGGATATTAAGTAAGTTTCAATATGAGAAAACCATTTTTTTCAGCGATGCCAGATGCCTAGTGATCAGTCGAGTCAGTTACTTCGTGTAGCTCTCTCTTCCTCAGCAACTCAGCTTGCGAGATGCCGAATTTACCTGTGTGCTACAGCTTCTGAATCATCACTTGAAATTTACCTTCAAAAAAAAAAAAAAGAAGAAAAAAAATATTTCTTTTCTGTTTTCTGCAATTCACAGTTTAGTAAGTACACCTTCATGGACCTGTATATTCCCCAACTTGGGACAAAAATAACTTTTTTTTGTAGAAAAGCAGAATGTTTTTATACTGCTTGTATAAAAAAATTTAAAAAAAATGAACCACCCCCCCAAAAAAAAACTATTCAACATGAATACACAAAACTCCAGAACATACTTGAAAATGAGACACATTGTGATGCATTATCCTCGATAAAACATAATAAAAATAAATACTGTATCATTTTATATTTGTAACTTAGCTTAAAGAGGAAGTTAACAGGAAATCCACAAAGAAAAGTCTACATATTGACAACTACAACAATATAAATAAAACTCGCATTCAAATTCAATGAAACGATAATGAATAACAGGAAATATTTTAGGTGAGCATAATGTTGGCACTAGAAATGCTTCAAGAGTAGATAGCATAGATGTTTGAGATTAGAAATCATTATTCAAATACAGGAAAATTCCAGATAAAGTTTGAAGGTAAATTTAACGCCTTTTAAAAGAGACACACAGTATAAATACCAACATAACTAAAGAGTGATATAGTGGTTACGTTATGTAGAGTCCAAGGTCGCCATCTCCCACTTTTTCCTATATCTGTTTTTAAACACGGATGGTGATTACTGTATTGAAATAGGCTCCTTACAGAGCTAAAATGTTATTGCTGTAAAATACGTGGGAAATTTTTTTTCCATGTTTATCACGTCCTGTGTGTCAGGACATCTCTTTCCCCAGTTTTAGGGCATCAATAGCACCCCTTCACAGTCACATTGTTACTGTTAAATTTATGCTTTCACATTATCAGTGACAATTGCACCCAGAACAGTGGTGACTGGCTGAGAGTGTTGGGGGTGGGTTTAGCCTATAAAATATAATTGAAAGATAAATTTTCCATATAATAGCTGATTTTGGAGAACAAAATGCCATACAATGATTAGAGTGAGTTTTGCAGGGGTTTCCACATCAGGTGGGGTGGGGAGGGGGTACTTGTCCACTATTGCCCTATGCTACAGACAACCATGGACCATTGTTAAGGGATCCCATAGTGCCAGGAAAACAAACCTGTTTCCCTGGCACTATAGGCTCTTGGATAGCCCCCCTCCCTCAGGGTTAAAAAAAGCCTTCAGACACTTACCTTAATTGAGCGCTGGGCTCCCTCGACGCTGGTGACCTCTCCTCCCCCGCCGACGTCTGATCCTGAGTGGAGCCAAATGCACATGCACGGCCAGAGGCGCACGCGCATTCAAACTCGCCCATAGGAAAGCATTACTCAATGCTTTCCTATGGGGATCTTATTTGACGCTGGACTCCGTGTAAACTCGTGTAAATCGTGGAAGCAGCCTGTCAGGGAGAAACTGTTATGTTTTCAACTGCAGGGTGAACCTGGCACCCAGACCACTTCGTTGAGCTGAAGTGGTCTGGGTGCTTATAGTAGTACTTTAATTATAATAAGTAAATGAATTAATAAACCATGCTTTACTTACATGCGGGCATCGTAGATACTTCTGCTGTCACAATACTTTTAATTCCCAAATTAGACAATCCTCCTCTAATTAATCCACATGTAAATGCCAAGTACTGTGTGAAAGAAGAATTGGAAATACAATTAGTATACAGAAAGGTAACCGGAAAGAAAAACAATAAATAAATGAGTGTGATACCCAAACACGTTACATACATAACATACTAAAACTGACTGCCTGGTACATGTGATAAAACATGGATACAAACATAACCAACACGGCAACTAATAGCACCCTTCCAACTCCCTATTTGTGGGATCTTCCAAACGCTCCCCAACCACCCCCTTCCTGTCTCCAAATTCTGTTAAAGCTGCACTCAATGTTCAGAGTACGGTTATGGTGCAAAGAGGCCATGAGAGTTGTCCTAGGTTTTTTGTTAAAATGCTTTGTAGCAGGTTGACAAAAAACAGGGAACGTCGAATAGATCATCCCCTATCTTCACTTACACTTCTGCATTACCGACAACCAACATCAAATCCATCCCATCTGGACGGCAGTGTATAGGGTGACAGTGATGGGCTAATCAGCCCTGTATAATATATTGTAATTGCTATGGTACCAGAAATCGACTGGAATGCTCATGTGAGCATTCTGGAATAAATCTCAACATTCTCTGATACTCTTGTGAGTGCAGATATGATATGTATATACATGCGCACACACACACACTCTCTCATGTTTCACTAGCTAAGTTTTCATTAAGGTGGGACTTCATTATGGGGGGCCATTTAACCTGCACATTGTATGAACCTAATTCACTGATGACCGTTACAGAACATATTTGCACGAAATCAGCAGATATTGTATAAAATACAAGAGGTGTGAAAATGAAATGTGTTCCGGCAATGTTTTGTGTGCTGAACAGCGATATGGAGCCCACAACTAAATGTTCAGCAAACTGGTCGTGTTGCAAGTCTAAACTAAACGTGACAAACTACCGACACAAAGAAAGCAACATATTGCCCGTTCTACAATAATAAGTCATACAAAGCATTCATAGCACATATATGATAAGTTTTAACATGTGCAGTACTAAGTGCAGTAGCTGCCTCACCCAAATACCTATGTTTAACAATAAAAAACATTTAGTCACTCGAGTAGATCCAACATTTATTTATAATGAGCAATTAGTATTTCATAAAGATACAATCTTTATGAAATATTCACATTGACCGAGTTGGAATTTCACTGAAATTGACAGAGTTGCTCTAAATCCACGCAGTGATTGCTCTGTTATGTAAACATATTAATGTAAATATCTAATTAGCCAATCGGTGCATAAAAGCATGCAGACAAGGTCAAGAGAATCAGTTTTTGTTGACAACAAACAATAGAACAAGGAAGTAATGTGATCTAAAGTACAGTGGAATGATTGTTGGTGCCAGGCATAGAGGGTTGAGTAAAACTGGCTCATCTTTTGGGCTTTTGATACACAGCAGTTTATAGAGAATAGTGTTAAAAAAACAAACAAAAAAACAACCATACATCCAGCTGGTTCTAACAGGACAATAGGGGATATGTGATCCGAAAACAAGTAACCGGTTAAAACTGGGGCAATCACAATGGAGGCCAATAGAATCAGCATGCAATACGCTCACAAGATGTAGGCTTAGATATAAGTTGCGTTCTATGCCGGCACAGTTGAAATATGGATTCTTTTTTGTGGGTATTGAATTATACACATGTGCATGTACTAACCATTATTATTCTTAAACCACAATATAAAATCATCCCATATATACAGAAAGGTTGTTGTTAATTTTTAAGACAACTATGCCTATGCACAAGCAATGCTTATTTCTAATTATGAGCCATGTGATTGTCATAGAATGTGGGAATAACCAGAGCACACTCTGTGACTAAGTCTGTTATTACATTTCACCTAAAGACCATTCTTTAAAACACACACACATTACCTTAGGTGCATGCTCCAAGTACTGCTTTCCTGCAGACATCTGCGTAATTAGACGGAATTTATTGTCCTGAAGCACATATATTCCCTTTACAATAAGACAGAAAAGAGTGATTAAATGTGCACACAAACAAACATAACACAACAGCTGACCATGTTTCCAACTAAAGGTTTATTGATATAAACACACACATCGTACCAGTCAAATCATTGGCTATACTTGTTGGAATTCAGGTGAAAAATAGCAATTTGCTGATCACTCAGTCATAGAAAAACTAAATCAGGCCTTCATTGTCACAAAACACACGGCAAAAGTTAACAGGTGGATGAGGAACAAAACAGGCACCTCAGGCAGCATTTTATCAGGAACAGTCTTATTCACTAAAGTCAGAATTCAAGGTGTATTCAAAATGTATTCTCGGCTACTCTGGCTTTAAATTTGCCTTTGAATTCTCACTTTAGAGCCTTGTCTATACCCCTCATGTGTGATAGTATGGCCGTCCCACCTTCTAAACATTAGCTGGAGAGGGTAAAGTATAAATGGTGTCACAAACCATGAAAAACAAATATTACAGCTGCAACAACTATTGGAGGCAATCCCGATTTCTCACCTGATGGTTTGTTCTCAGGTTATCAATCTGCTTCTTGAACACAGTAGTCCAGAAATCTTTGCACACAAATTTCATGATATCCAATTCGTCCTTGAACCTTGCTGTATCCTTGGTAAATCTACAATGAAGCATGCAAAGCACAGTTTATTCTAGTTTCATTTCATACAAACAAAACAGAGATATCGTCATAGTAGGGAGCCGACTAATTTAATTACCGGTTATTAAAAAGGCCTACTTTAGGTGGTGTGGGTTTTAATGAGGACTGATGAACTATAGTATCAAGACCATCCCTTTGATGGAAAACGTAACATAAGGCACTAAAAGGGTGCATTGTGGGATTAAAACACTATGGGCTGGAAGTGACCTCTTCTGGGACCTTTTATTTTTATCTGGTGCCCAGGTGATTATTTTCTGAGGACATTATCTTGTTTTATCTGTGTTTTTTTTTATTTATTTACGTTTACCTTTGCCTATAGTGTTTTTATACTTTGGTTTTATATTAGCCTATGAGATTGTCTGGCGCACCCTGCATTTTGTTTTTCTGCATTTCAGTGTCTTTGAGGGAATGCCCTATTATCAGGTGTGCTGCCTTATTATTTATAGTCACTCTCTGTATGGTTTTTTACACCTCTGTAGATGATTGCTGTACTTTAATCAACTCTCAGTTTAACCTCCTCTGGTACAGGATGTTTGTATTAAATCAATGATAAAACCTGTAAAGTAACCTCTAAACGGACAACATAGAGCAAAGCTTGTTACCCAGCCATTCTAACTGGAATCCACAGAAATAAGGGTACATTTGAGTGACATCATTCAAGTAAAATCCAACAATGCATTTTATAGTGACAGTGTTAATCCCTGGGTGTAACCTTGACAAGCAGCTTCTCTTTGTCAATGCAGTTTTGTTATTTTAGTGAAACGGTCTTTCTGCTGCTATGAACATCATACCCCCTAAAGAACTTTCTCACCTTACAAAAGAGAAATCTGCATTTTTATAAAGTTTTGGGGTTGATCCTCCACATTGCTCTGCTCCTTAAAGGGACACTCCATTGCCCCAAATATAAAAAAAAAATTCAAAAAAAATCCCGACTTAGTAGATATAGTCCCAATGAAAATACACATGCATTTATTTCTGCAATTTTTATTGGTGATAGATCTAAAAACAGCATGCAATGCTGCACGTCTTTAGTCTGCAGCGTTTGCCAGCCCTGCCCTTTGTCACGGAGAAGCCTCTATGCTGGAGCCCAGACCACAAGCACATGTAATAGCGGCTTACCAGCGCAACTCACTGAAGGGGGGAAGGAAGGGGGCACTAGCACAGCTCTGTGAAACTAAAAGGTAGTGAAAAAAAACCTCTCTAGCTGTCTGATTGTCAGGCATGCACCCTTCCCCCAAAATTTCTCTACAAATTATGCTGAGTGATCCTCCCAGGATTTAGAGCAGAGCTGCAGCGAGGCGACCCTTTCGACACTGGATTCATTTTAGGGCATCAGTGGGGACCCTAAATCTTAGCAGTTATTTTTATACTCCCTAGAGTTATAAGTAAAAGGTATTGTCTTTTACTTTGGAGTGTGAACATTGCAGTGTTCCTTTAAATTCCAAGGTGGTAGTTTTGAGAAGAGTAGGATTCTTTTTTTTGTGGTCTTGTAATGGAATCCTCAACCGCCATTGGTCATGTATTTAAAGAACGCAGAATGAGTCACCACCGGCTACAAGACACATTAGGGTGAAACCTTGTTTCAGGGAGTGCACTGCCATTTTGAGTTATGTAATATCTTCTCTTTCACCAATGTACAAGGCAGCCTTGGCAGTCACTGCAGACTTTGCAAATTAAATTAACCGCTGCTGTGCCAAATACATAAATATAGTACTACAGAAGGAATGCTCAAGTGCACAGGGGCCAGTGCAGCATTTCTCTAAAAATAATTTTGTTTCATTTTCAATCAGATCTAACAGCAGTGTGTTTGCTATAGAAGATACAATCTCTAGTTCTGTCAATTAACAATTTTAATCACACACAGGATGCACCTGTGGTCTCTAGCACACTATTAACAGGAGATAATATATTCTAAATTAAACACACTGTGCAATAAAGGAAGTTTAAACATTAGATCTCTCATTACAGGAAATGTTAGAGAGCTTGTGTAAATATCAACCAGGGTATGTGTGACTAGGGCAACATAAACAAAGTGATTTAACTCCTAAATGGCAGAGAACTGAGCAATGAGATGACTACAGGGCATGATCTATACACCATAACCATTTAATTAAGATAATGTTTGTGGTGCTTAGAGTGTACCTTGAAGAGATTATGATGAGGGGTTGGTTTGGTTCCAACTCTAGCATACAGGCTCTGTTTGACATGTGTGTTAATTTGTGCTAATTCTTAATTCTGGACTCTTGACAAACAAAACAGACTCACTTTTCTAAAAGGGACTTCTGAAATGAGTTCTCCTTACATATGTAATAAAGTCTGCTCCCACATGTTACTTTACCTACAAAGAGGCAACCACTTAACTCTCCCTGCAAGAGATATGCAGACCTTATAGTCAGACTCACTCCAAACACATGAGCTTTAATCTTGTCAAACAGCAGATAAGATGCAGAGTACAGCACATTAAATACAGACCCTGTAGGACACTTACTAGATTAATAAAAATGAAAAGTGTAAGGACTGGGCAGCAGTAACACAGACTTATCAGATCTCCAGAGCTGATAGCACAAACAGCTTTGGGGGCTCGTGACATTGCAGACGGTCATTGGTGTAAGCTGGCACCATGAAAAAAAAAAAATTCTTAAAATAATAATGTAACAATCTCCATCAGCATGTCGTAGAGGATAATGCAATTTATCATGCTGTCATTTCTCTAGGGTATTATTCATGCGTATTGTGGGCTGTCTGGTGGTATACTCTACTGTATTCCTCATCTTAACATGTCTATCTACACTAAGTACCTATCTCTTATCAGCAATATGATACAAGTCCTGTTTGTTTAGCCTGTTCACTTCCTACTTTAAAAATGTGTAGAGGAATAGCATGCCATGTCCAGATTTAACGGTTTGTGTGTCATGCTTGTTGCTGCTGTCGTGGCACTGCAAGTTTCAATGTATCTCACTATATGCACAACAAAAATAAAGAATTGTAAAAATAATAATAATAATAACAATGTAACAAAAAGTTGGCAAACATGAAGATCATCTGCCACAAATAAACACTTGATAATCCTGCTCAGGAAAACGTACGCAAAGTTGCTGTCCGATCCAGTCTACTAGGAGTAGATCAACAATAGGGTACCTTGGCTTCCGGGGTTTGTCAGGTTCTAAGCGCTGAAGAAAAGCTAAAACCAAATGTACCATAATCTGGCCCATAGCACAAGATTGGCATTCTCTCACAAAACCAAATGATATATTTTGGGTTGTTCTACATACCTTTCTATTAATCCCTGTCCTACTCTAAATCCCATGTTCTCGAGTTTAGTTATGCATCTTCCATTTTCCTGAAAGAAAACAAAAAAGTGTAAATATATCTATTTTCAAAATTAATAAAATAAAGAATATCATCAGGTGAGTAACCAACACAAGTAAAAACATTAACAAATAATTATATTTTACAAGTATAATTTCTACCAATCTAAAAATTGTTAACATAGAATGTGACGGCAGATAAGAACCATTCTGCCCATCTAGTCTGCTCAATTTTCTAAATACTTTCATTAGTCCCTGGCCTTATCTTATAGTTAGGATAGCCTTATGCCTATCCCATGCATGCTTAAACTCCTTTACTGTGTTAACCTCTACCACTTCAGCTGGAAGGCTATTCCATGCATCCACTACCCTCTCAGTAATGTAATACTTCCTGATATTATTTTTAAACCTTTGTCCCTCTAATTTAAGACTATGTCCTCTTGTTGTGGTAGTTTTTCTTCTTTTAAATATAGTCTCCTCCTTTACTGTGTTGATTCCCTTTATGTATTTAAATGTTTCTATCATATCCCCCCTGTCTCGTCTTTCCTCCAAGCTATACATGTTAAGATCCTTTAACCTTTCCTGGTAAGTTTTATCCCGCAATCCATGAACCAGTTTAGTAGCCCTTCTCTGAACTCTCTCTAAGGTATCAATATCCTTCTGAAGATACGGTCTCCAGTATTGTGTACAATACTCCAAGTGAGGTCTCACCAGTGTTCTGTACAATGGCATGAGCACTTGTACACCGTTGGCAATTTGACAAATTCATCTTATTGAAACTGTTATAGTGCCTTCAGTGCTGGCCATCCTGTCCAAAACACTTTATTTCAATAATTAGAACGCTTGGAAGCACAGCTTCAAGCTATGCCTCCAAACTTTCTGGGTATGAGAGCCGGAAACATTTCTTCCCGACTCTCATAGCGTAATATACCGTGACGTCACGCATGCATGTGCAGTGCCATCATGGTCCGACATAGAGAATTATTGACTACAATAATTCTCAATGGAGGAAACAGACATCACAGAGAGCTCCTTGCATGCATCTACGTTTCCCAATACTCCTCTATTAGGAACAGTGGATTTGCCATCATCTTGGATACACACCTCCAAGATGATGTAACTCGAGAAGGAGAAAAGGTGAGTTGTTCATTTTTATCTTTTAACACATTGAGCATAAATGAGAAGCGGCATCAAGACTGTAGCGCTATGAATACAGATGTATTCCTAATGCTACATTGTTCCTTTAACACAAACAGTCTATATAATTTACAGAACCCAGCAATTTTCAGACTAGCTACTATAACTGAAATATACAGTTACAAATATCTGTATTCCTTATAATGCTTGTATTATCACTACAATTAAAGGGTTACTCCAGGCACCATGACCATCAGTGATTTCAAGTGGTCATGTGTCTGGAGTCTGCATGTGCAACGTTGCACTTTGAAATGCTGCACATACTCAGTTTAACCCCTTTGCTGCAGCAGTTGTATCTCCATGCAGCGTAATTGGGTGTCATCCAGTGTCAATTCTGTGCAAATTTCTCAGCCAATGTATGAGTAGCAGGATCAGCACTGGCTTCTGCAGAATCCAGTTGTTGTAAACCATGCTTCAGACAATCCATGGCGCCCAGCAGGGCCAGGTCAGAGGGCAGACAATTGTAAAACAGTTTGCCCGATTACAGGGGAAAGGCACCAGTATTCACCTACAATCATAACCATTACAGCAGGCTGTAGTGGTCATGACGGTTGGATTAACCCTTTAAGCATGTTTTGATGTGCACCAGTTAAAAAATAAATAATATATATTTGGTAGAGTCACCTAGAAAAATGTTGGCTATAAACTACCTCTGCTTAGTGAGCCAGTCATGCAGCATGCTCAGTGCCACTGGTTGCATATGTCTACAGTGTAATAAATCTATTTGAACACAGATTGAGCCAAAACAAACACAATCTATAAAGGAAGATAAATGTGTGCAAACATTAGACAGTAGCAGTAGTCTAACCATAAAAAGGTGTAATTTAATACAATTGGTTTCTAGAAAGCAAATTGTATATTTGCGTTCTGTTTTATTTCCTTAACCGCTGTATATGATTCCTAGTATATGGGCATTATGAATACATTATTTTTGCATTCTGTTGGTATTTATGTTATGCTACATTGGAGTCCTTAACGATTCCAAAAACAATATATTTAGCTTTTTTTCTATTTTCAGTTAACGTGTTCGACAATAACAATAGTTCTGTTTTTACTTTGTATACACTTTTTATTCTCTAAAGACATTCAATTGTTTGAATTTTATTTTTTATTTCTGCAAATCATAAACAAATTGACACAATTGTATTTTCAATGTTCCTTTGCCCATCAATCTACACCTAAAATTGCGGTGTTATCTTTAAGGTATTAATAATTCTGGTTCCATGCAATACAATGCCAATGTTATATATATTATATATTAGTATTATTACTTCTGGCATTTAGGAAATGCCAACATATTCCACAGCGCTATACAATAAGACTTAAGAGTCGCACACCTCTATTCCATCTATATTAGTTTGTCTATATTGTATACAGTAAAAAAAAACAGTTTGTGATTTTAGAAGGTATCGCATGAATGCACAGCAGCTGTTCTTTTAAAAATATCTATATATATATATATTGACAAATTAGAGAAGTGATAAATAAGCGCTGATCCTTATCCAATTTCTTGTCTATATTGTATGGTCTATCTTCCCCTGATTGTACAGCGCTGCAGAATATGTTGGCGCCTTAGAAATGCCAGTAATAATTATAATAATAAATATATATTAGTATTATTATTACAGGCATTTAGGAAACGCCAACATATTCTGCAGCGCTGTACAATCAGGGGAAGAGTTGGGGTCCTCTATTCTTTCTGCATTAGTTTGTCTATCTTCCCCTGATTGTACAGCAGGGCTCCTAGTGATGGGTTACACAGGAAGCTATCAGAGTGGAGGTAGGTGGCCCCACTTACCACATCCCCCTGCTCGGGGCCCTTGTACACACAGGACACGATCTCATTGTGCAGCAGCAGGAAGAGAGCCTCGTCAGCCATGTCCTGCTTGTTCATAGCTCACTGCATGGCCACCGGCCCGGGCTAGCTGGCTACCTGACTGGCTCACTGGGCTAGTGCCAGAACTCCACATCCTCCGCCACCACCCTGCGAGCTCACTTCCGCATCCGGCCGGGAGCGCGGTCACCATGGAAACGTGGCCCATCCGGTGGGCCGGGGAGCATGGTTACCATGGTTACCAGACTTTCAGCCTGGCTGTGATGGCTGCAGGGTGTCATCTAATGATTATTAGGGGGACCTGCAGCTGGAGAGTCACTCACTGAAAGGGAACCTAGTAATAAAGACTGTCTGCAGGAGCAATGATAATAATAATAATAATAATGTGACTCATTGCTGGTTAAATTCATAAACAGGGCAGTTATCAATCACACAATACTGTTTATATCACAAATTAAAAGGATTTGCCAGGTCCCTGGCCAAAAATGGGTTAAACAATATGGCACAAATTCAAAAACTAATTCTTCATAACTCTCAGATTCACAGGAGAATCCAAGGTATTTCTTGGATGCCAGGAACACACCGCGCTCTACTGGAAAAATACAATAAAATGTATTATTCACCCCCATGGTCACTATATAATATTATACGGCACCCACCAGAAAATAAAAAGTCCTAATAATAAAGGATAAAGCAGCGATTGTGTCACTTTTCTTGAATTATTAACCTATTCATGACCAAGCCACGTGAAAAAAAAAACAATAACCAGGTAACGGTTTTGTTTGTATTCTAGCAGGTATCTTTCAAACACCCTTCCCAACCATAACCACTTCTGAACCCCAAGATGCTAATTTCACTGTAGAAAAAAATGTGACGAACACCCGGAACAGGCATTTCTCAGCAAAGGTGCTGCCGTAGTGACCAAAATGTAAACATAATACAGATTAAGAAGACTGGGCTACTTAAATCACCTATCTGAGCAAACAAATATGGTGATTCAGTTCTATCACATGGCCATATAGTGTTAAGCCCACCACTACTTCACAGTACCCCACTAATTCAAACATGGGAGACAAATTAAATAGTGCTAGTGCTCAAAAAGCTCAAGGCTATTTTAATAATCCATTTGTAAGAGCATTGTGAATCAATATATATATATATATATAAATGCAAAATTAATCATAAAAATTTCAATGAACAAAAAAAATACAGTGTTGAAACTAATTCCACCATAATCACACAAGGCTTCAGTACGATAGATAGGACTGCAATAATGCTCATAATACAAAATACTCCATGCATTTTGGCGTATTCTTTGCAAATAGTATGCATTCATGGGGTACCATAATTGGAGAGTATGAAAATAAACATAGTCTCGATGTGCAACAGAGTCCCGGCATCCATATGAAATATTTGGAAAAAAAAAATTAAATGGGTAGTATACTGATTTGGCACTATAACATCGAACACTAATTTAGGTTTAATTACAAATCTGATTTTCCACATAAAACATTTTTTTATGCTGAATGCGTGGACTATGGGATTTAGGTTCAGTTATAAGTGATTGAAGATGTTCTACAGAAAATCATTTCATGCGGTTTTCGAGTAGAGTGCCATTCAATTCTTCCGATAGCGGCAAGTTCTTTCGACTGTGAATATATCATAGAACGTCATTGATCCTTAAGGAGTTAAATATTCTTCTAAACTGATTCTACATTTTATTCATTTTAAGTGTGTGTGTGCATATATAATTTAAAAAATATATATTTGTTCATTATTATAATCCTTTTTTAACTTTTTTGTATATTTTGCATAGTATTTTTGCTTTACGGATTGTGAAGATTGTCACGCTATCAGGATTTTTGCATTGCTGCGTGTCCATGTACCAAAGCGACAGCGTGGCTATTTTTTTAGTGTTAGGAGACATTTTTATATTACATTCATGTACACTTTTTGTTTATAAAAATTAGTAAAGGACAACTGTCACCTTCAGCCATATACATTCACCTTCGGTCATACCGTCTTTCAAAACCATCAGTTAGTGTCTATGGTTTTCTCTGTTTCTGTGCAGGGAGTGAAGCAGGGAAGACCATAGAGACTAACTGTCGGTTCCAAAAACTCTCTGACCCAAGGTGCATGTATATGGCTGATGGAACCTGACATATATTAAAGGTAGTTGTATACTTTTATTTTTTTTTTAAATCTGTTCCATTTCTATACTTAATGCACAGATTATTTTTGAAGTGACAGTTGTCCTTTAAAGTTCGTTGACGCTTCACTGTCGTAACGACACAAGATGTCTATCCTAATGTTTCGTTATGCTGAGGCAGCACATTCTTGGTTTCCTTAGTGCAAGGGAAGGCAACCTTCGGCACTCCAGATGTTGTGGACTACATTGTTGCTTAGTAACACTTCTAGACGGCCACTAGTGACACTGGCGTTTCGCGTCTCCACGCTCTGCACAGAACGTTCGCCATAGGGATGCATTGATTCAATACATCTTAATGAGGGGATGCTGATTGGTGCAGCGTGGAGCATTGGATTGGCTGAGATCATCAAGACTGATGATCTCAGACAAGGAGGCAGAGCCAGCCGCGGCGAGAAAAGTTAGGTAAAATCACCTTTTAACTCCACAGACAGAGCTGGTCACCGAAACAGCTAGTTTAACACTAAACTGTAAACTGTTAGGAATACATGTTCATTTAATCTCAATGAAGTGGTCTGGGTGCAATGTTAAACATTACCACGTTTTAGATACAGCAATGTTTACATGTTTACATTGCAGGGCCAATCATACATCTGGTAGTCTTCCTAACAGCCACAAGATGGTGCCTCCGCTGCTGGAACCAAGTATTGTTGCTGGAAATGAGTTGAGTAAAATTTATTAAACCTGCAATTTTCAAAATACAATGGGTGGAAAAAGGTCACTATAATGTCAGGAAACATATTCCTGGGGGAAAAAAATAATATTTTCTCGACTATAGGTTTCCTATAGTCATTGTTACATTTGTAGATTGCCTATTGTAGCATTAAACATGCTGCAAGCTGTGCTGGGACATCAAGCATTATTGCTGCAAGTTCAAAAACAGGTTGAGTCCTTACAAAGGGGGCAGGGCCCTCCTGGGACCATAACCAGTACAGCAAGCTGAAATGGTTATGGTGCCTGCAGTATTCCTTTTAAATTAGAGAGACCCACAAATATCATACTTAAACATGACAAGGCTGTATGGTGAGACAGTAGCCTTGTAAGATTTGAAACTTAGCTATTTAGCGTGTGAGCTGTTTCCGTGTACATTTCATATAAATTCAGATCTTCACAGCAATACCATGATTAAAAAAACATGCATGTTTCTGATGTCCTTCCCAAATTTGCCCCCTGACTATGGTCACAGTGTGGATCTTTCATTTAAAATTTTGACATTCACATTTCACTTCTCTATAATTTGCTTAATTTCACTAAGGGCATTATTTCAGATTTAAATAAGCTTAAATATTACTTCCGGGTTTATTCCTGGAGTCTTTAAATGAATACAGTGGTCAATTTCCCCACACAATACATGTGCAAAGTGCTCAGTTCAATGACAATTTACATATTCTAATTAATCTAGATACAAAGAAAGCAAACAGTAAAAATATACTAAATTATTAGCCGGAGGCCTTTCCTTCGTATAAACAATGAGTAATTATCCTGTGTATAGACAGTGACATGTTCTAGAGGGAGCTTTTTATTTATTTTTTTAATTGTTTATTTTGTTTGTTTGTTGGTATATTACTGTGTGTTAATTTAGCACTTCACATATGTTTGTGGGTGGCTGGGGGGGAGTTAACTTTCTAATCTGCATTTCTAAACGTTATGATAAAAACTGAGATTACATGATTTTATTTAAATGTTAGTCTCTTCCTTCTTTGAGTAACAATTGTTGGACTATTTGTGTATTGTATTATTAGAAGAAACTAACTGACTGTTTATTAGCTTTATTCCAAAACAAAAATGTGCATCATTTAATATGAGCAGCGGCTGCCTTGGAGTGTAACTCCCAGAAATCCTAAGCAAACTGGGACATAAATGTTTTGGTGCTGCCTTATAATTAAAGGAAACCATGGACGCCCGTATAAGGAAAAATGATGGCATGTCATGGTACTGGACACATTCAAAATATACGTAACCTTTGGTGTACAGAACCCTGAAATAGCATTCATTTCAGATAAAATACACTTCAGAGTTTTGTGAAGTTATCCTGTATGCATTTTATTTATTTTTAACAAGGAGGAGAGCCCTTGCAGGTCTTTACATCCGCTGCGGAATTTGACGGCGCACTATAAATATCATAATAATAATAATAATAATAATAGCTGTTATATGATATTATATGTTATAGCTGTTATATGATATGTTATAGCTGTTATATGATATGATATGTTATAGCTGTTATATGATATGTTATAGCTGTTATGTGATATGTTATAGCTGTTATATGATATGTTATAGCTGTTATATATTATATGTTATAGCTGTTATATGATATGATATGTTATAGCTGTTATATGATATGTTATAGCTGTTATGTGATATGTTATAGCTGTTATATGATATGTTATAGCTGTTATATATTATATGTTATAGCTGTTATATGATATGATATGTTATAGCTGTTATATGATATGTTATAGCTGTTATATGATATGGTATAGCTGTTATATTATATGTTATAGCTGTTATATATTATATGTTATAGCTGTTATATTATGTTATAGCTGTTATGTGATATGTTATAGCTGTTATATATTATATGTTATAGCTGTGATATGATTTGGTATAGCTGTTATATGATGTTATAGCTGTTATATTATATGTTATAGCTGTTATATATTAAATGTTATAGCTGTTATATATTATATGTTATAGCTGTTATATGATATGTTATCTCTGTTATATTATGTTATAGCTGTTATATGATATGTTATAGCTGTTATATGATATGTTATAGCTGTTATATTATTTATTATAGCTGTTATATGATATGTTATAGCTGTTATATTATGTTATAGCTGTTATATGATATGTTATAGCTGTTATATGATATGTTATAGCTGTTATATTATTTATTATAGCTGTTATATGATGTTATAGCTGTTATATATTATATGTTATAGTTGTTATATTATATGTTATAGCTGTTATATTA